GTGATACATGAAGATGTGAAGTGGTGCATATGTGAAGGGTGAAGGTGTGAAATGGTGAAAGGTGTCAGTGTGAAAGGTGACACTGTGGCAAAGTGAAGTGGAGGGTAGGGAACCATAACACTTTGTATTGTATCAGCAATTCCATCCCAGCAGTAATCCAGTCACAAAATAAATAGTTAGCAGTCCTACATGCTTTGAATTTGTGTGGTTAGTATCTCCATATTTCCTGCTTGAGTTTCACTAGTGTTTTCACCATGTTAGGTAATGCATGTTTTATTGTGTAGTTTTGAAGATGAAACCCATGCTCAATCATAATGTGGCATGCTCAGTACAACTTGATCAGTGGTGATTCTTGAATAATATGCTGAATTGTCCCATTTGAGCCCTTGCCAGTAAAAATCACCTAGAAGAACAATTTAATTTTTTTTAGTTGACTGCTGTAATATGTTCCATGCTCACACTCACCTTCACATATAGAATGTTTCATTCAACAAGCCAGTTGACAGGACAAAACTTGAATGCTTGTCCTGTTGGGTTGCATAGCCAATTCAGATGTATTATCTGCCTAGTAAGATGTCACTTTTTATAAGTGTATAGCTTGACTGAACCAGAGAATATGTACTTTAGGTCCATTGTATATACATACCGCATGTAAATCATGAAGCATGTTGTAGAGACTCGCATCTCTACAGACACCTCCCTCTGAATTCTCCCACTTCTCTTACACATACCAGCTCTAATCCTTAGGATATGTTTTGCACATTGGTGCACATATAATTTCTATTGCAGGTTTTGCACGTGGCATCTCGCATTGTACACACACCCATCTGTCCATCCTTCTTATGTCCTTAGATGTCCATTGGTGCATTTTCCCACTATATTCTCATTTTGTTTAATTATTTTCCCTTGCTAACACATGGCTTTGTGTTACACATGCAGCCGAGACCCTATTACCTACTTTGTGTACTATTTTTAGCTTGTTCAGCTCATCACATCGGACCTGTGCACCTAGTGGCGCTTAACTATTTTACTTATACCATTCCTCTACTCTATATTTGGGGTTGATTTTTCACCCACTTTCTCTGCATACTTAGCTACAGAAGGGTTTTACTTGTTGTTGCAGTGACTATCTAAGTCTTGCATGCTAGTAGTCCGCCTTTCACTTTATCATCAGCCAACCTTAGTTGGGGTAATATCAGTTGTCTTGTCTTGTCTCTCTTTAGTCTTTATTGTTCCTTTGCACTTTGCTCTTGCTCGGGCACACTACTTTTGCATTGTGTATCTTGCACTTCACCTTTCACACTTGTGCATCCATATATTGTTTTTTGCATCGTTCTCACCTCGCGCTTCACACATTCCTTAGTCCTATTACCCTAGTAGTAGTTTTGTGTCCCTCTTTTTATAAGAGAGGTTTCCCTTGACTCAGACAGCTGCCCTTAGGTCAATATTTCACTCACACCTGGGACTATCTGTGTTTTCATGGCTTAGCACCAAATTTCCCTGCAGTTTAGATTCTTCATCTTCAGCATCATCTGACATGCATATTTGTGTTTTCCTATCAACTTGAACATGTAGATCCATGGCAATATTGAAGCCTCAACACAACCACTATCTTCTGAGTTTATTATATGATACAAGTCAACATACAGTAGTTCATCTGTATCCTCTATTGAACATGATTTGTGGATTGCATCCAGATGCTCCTTTGTCGACAGGTTGCCATAAATGAGGATAATGTGCTCTGACATGTCAACATTATGACATAAATTGAAACCAGCAGCTTAAGGCTCACTGATCTCCTCCTGCTTGAATAAACTATCTATTATATTGATGTTACTGTCAATTATGGATTGTTTTGTTTAAGAGAATCATAGATAGGATATCTGGCTGACCATGGTGCAGCTTTAGAAAATCAAAGTACTTTCTATGAAAAATGAGAATGTCTCAGACATGCCAAGCGAAGTTCTGCATGTGGGGTGACAGGTGCTGGCCTTATGCCTTCTTGTTGAAGGTACCCTCTTTATGGAAAATGTGTAGGTCCTTGAGTGTGAATTTTTCTGCCATAATGAAATTACTCACATCACTACTTTGTTCATGCAGCCTAACTGCTGCTGCACACCACAACTGTGTGGGATTCTTGACATCAAACAATGAAATTGCTGTTGCTGAGGTCAAGCTGATAAATGTTGATTGATGTTCAACAGTAGGCTGAGAGGTTTTGAAGTTGATATCAAAGTTATCATGTGTGAGTGCTATTTTTAATGTTCATATGAATTGTTTAATGTGGATACTAGCTTCAACTGACAGTGATGCTACTGCCTTTTCAATAGATGTGATGTTTACAGAAAGGCCAGTATGAGCGAGTAGGTTAATAACCTTTGCTGAAGTTCCTGTTGAATGGGCAAAGATGCATACACAAATGACTACTTTCTGTGGTATGTCTTGGTATTTTTTGCCTCCAAAGTGATGTTTAGTTTCTTACAATTAGCACCAGTGCTGCATTCTGTTTGCTGGTATTGTGCCAACACTTATGTGGCTTCTCTCTCTTTGCATCAAGCTCTTCATTATCACCCTGGTTCATAGTGTCATCATCACCTCCAATATCGCCTAAATCTTACTCCAGCTTCTTGTCTCCTTCTTCATGAAGTTCTCAGACAAGTTCTTCAACTTCAGCATCATTCAAATGTCGGCATTGTATGGAGTTTGCATCAAGAAGTGAAAATATGAGATAAAAGAGGTTTGGTATGATTTTTTTGATCTTCTGTGCCAGTGTTATCATGAAAGAGTCTTCTAGCTGTAATGATGTTGCTGTTGTAGTGAAGTGAAGGCCACTTCGCTGTAAAGAGTAAATCTCTGCTGGACTCAGCAGAAATAGTACTACCTAGACAACAATATTTAGGTAGATCTTTAGCACGACCTATACTGCTATACTTGTAGAGCAAGTGTGTTTGATCCTAAAGGGGTTGCTATATGGTATTAGTAGTATAAATGTGTCAGTAATGCAAATAATGAATGTCTGAAGCTATGAAACAATGTCTGAAAATAATCCAAAGACATCCAAGGGTACTTATCCAATGTTCAAAGCCAAAGTGCAATGTCCGAGATTTTCGGACTTTTGGACTTCATGAATATAGGTCAAAAACTATGTAACGAGTGTCAGGTTGCGAGTGGTGTGCACAAGTATAACAAGTGACGGAGTATGACAGTGAAGGAACAGTAATATTTCACAAATCAACTAAGAACTACAAGAATATTCTGAAAGTGACCCAGCTACAGGTGGATGGATAAATAAGAATCACTACAGAGTATTTATCTATCTATGTAGGAATCTGGAATACCATAGGCGAAGGTAGTAGTCCCACATTCGCTTCAATCAATAATCACTTAGGGGTTGACCTAGGGTCGCCGTGATGATCTTGAGTCGCTTACATACATGTTGATCTATTTGTTGTATGGCTCCCTTCCATGGTTAACTAGTGTCCATGAGAAGCTCTCTAGTTGTAGTTAATACCACCATTGAAATTCTATGCAATGGAATCCCTGTTGAGTTTCCAAGTATTCTCATCTACACACACTCTCTTACGTTCTCAGAAGACCCTGACTATGGGCATCTTCATTTGTTGCTTCACGGCCTTCGAGCCACATTGTCCACACCAGCTATGTGCTTGCTGGATTTCAGCCAGCCTGATGATCACATCATACATCCACCTCCAATCTCCCATGAACACTGGATGAACAAGGGGGTGTCCCCATGTTTGCTGGATGCAACACCTCTTTGCAGATCAACTCGTGTGTGAGTGATCTGTTTCATTCTCCTGTGATCTGAAGCTCAAGTGATTTCTAAGTTTGCACCCAACTACTTCAGCTCCACCCTGAAAAAAGACATTAGTTACTAGATCACGCTGTTGAATACTTGTATCTATCTGCACACAACCTGTACAAATGAACCTGATGTGGCCAAATATGTGTTGATGAATCATCAATCATCCAGATGCCCAATTCCCGACTCTCATGCAGTGCTTCTTATCTTTTTCACACTCATTTCCCTCCTTGCCTATCCTCGCAATATGTAAGTGTTATTCTTCTGCAGATCAGCCAGCCTGCCACAGAAACAAAATTGTCCTGGATATGTGTTTCTCAGGTCTGAGTCCTGACTCCCGACATCTACCTGAGATACCTCATTGACAGGCCAGCGGCCAGCCTATTGGATGATGCATGGGAACCTACCTTTCACAAACACCTGACTCCCATTTCACTAAAGATTCAAAATTCAATTAATCAGTTGTTGACTATGTGAATGAATGTAAGCTCAACTCATTAATGTGGTTGAAACACCTGCTTAGTGATACAAGCTGAAAACAGACAAAGCAAACCACCCGAGCTGACAACAATAGACCTCAGTACTGGGTATGAATCCTCACAAATATCTTACTAACACTCATCAAAGACACCAGCATATAGTAGAGGCTTGGTATTCATGAAGATATTCCCTACTGGATGGTGAATTGGGAACTTTTTATAAACATGCCATGTCCCTTTCGCTGGATGACATCGCTGTATTGCAATCTCGCTTCTGGACTTCAGCTGATTGACTCCAGGGATGCAGGTAAGCTTTACTTCACTTGATATATACTGATTGCGAGATTAAGTGCCCATCAGAATACATGTCTTATGGTGGTGGGCATTGGAGAAACCCCACTTACATGTTATGCTGCCTAGGACTACTCAAGTGAAGAAAATCTTATGGTATGTACCCTGGTCCCTGAGTGTATGTTCTGTTGTTCCCCTTGCGTCACATTATACTTATTGATGCTGTATTTAGACATGTTACTTTGTTTGTGTGACACATTGAAACTGTTGTCATTAGTTGACTCAGTACTGGAGTTTCCCCGTTATTTTCCCAGGACAAAGTTTTATAAAGACTGTCTTTGAATCTTCACCGTTACACTCACTTGAACATGCCTCCTTGCCAACAAGGGCAGAAGTCCCAGGTTGCCACCATGCCTACCCCTGCTGCTGTACCTCTAATTGTCCTCATTGCTGCTGCTGTTGCATTCAATGTAACTACACTTCAACACCCTCATAGACAATGACAACTGCCTCTGAGGTTCCGCGACAATAGCCCAGCTTGAGTTGGCACCAGTCATACAGCAGATGATGGAGAATATATTAGCATCGGCAACGTCTCTGGGGAAGAAGAGGACAACTTACCTGCACCTAGAGTCAGGGCTCCTCCAGTCACTGGCCCACTGCAGACAGCTACTAGTACCATTTACTCTACCCAAACTAATCCATTAGCCACGGGTATTCAAAGAATGCAGCCTAAAAGCACTACTGATATCTGTTACTTCTTTAGGCTAGATCCAGCTACTAATTGCAAGGTCTGCCAACCCTGTAAGTAAGTATTGTTTGTCATTCTTTCGCTCTTTCTTACATCCTTGTCCAGGGTGTTGCAAAAGGTGAACAGTTCACACAAAATCACCACATACAAGCACATGACTAGCACTTCTGCCCATTGTAAACACACTTTCTATTGCCATACCAACCTTTACATACAAGAGGCAGAGCGCCAGCACTGGCCTATTCTTGTAAAGTCAATCAAGGAGTGACTTAATGAAGGGTGGACTTTGGCAACCATCCATAAAAGACTTCAGGACCCTGCTTATGATATCAACTCACTTGGTCCCATCCCTAATCATAGATCTAATGATTCGCTAACCAGAATTGGCTTATCTCCAGATGATTACATACCAGATTTTAGCATTGATGAGATGCACCGTCAGTTAGTGAAGTTCATAGTTGCGGATGATCAGGCGAGTTGGTATCTACTTTCTATGTGCCTTGCTAATTGATTATCTGTAGGCAATAAACATGATTGAATGTGTGGAGTTTCAGCGCCTAATACATTTTCTGTGGAAGGATGTGAATGAGTCAGACATTCCTCACCATACAAAACTTCATGAATTGATCATTTTCGCATGACATGAGTATTTCCAGGTGTTAAAAAGTGATCTTGCAGTAAGTTTTTAGTTGTCAACACTGTCCTATCAAGTGTCTTATGTATTCTTACAGAGGGCGCAAGGCAAGATATCCTTTACATCTGACCTCTGGTTGGATCAGAAACTCTGCCCATTCATGGCACTCACTGCCCACCAAACCGCCAAGGAAGAGCAGACATCAGTGCTTGTCTTGAAGGCAGCTTTGATTGCTTTTTACCACATTCCAGGAAGCCATACTGGCAAATCTCTTGGTTCAATAATACTGCATCTCCTTGATCGTGCCAACATTGCAAAGGATGTTAGTGTTTAGCTGTACTATTTGACACACGCTGACTTTGTTTATCCTGGACACTTCACTTTGGACAATGTAGCAAATAATCAACATTAATGAAGGAGCTCTTCCGCTTACTCAAGGAATGCCAGATCAACTATGATCTGATCAAAAACAGAATTCCCTGTTTTCCACATGTGATCAACATATGCGTGAAACATATTGTCGATGACTACACCACGGCAGACTTTTCATGCGTGGAGGACGAATGGGATGTTTGTGATCAAACTATTAACAAGAAGGAATATATTGGCACTATCACTGGTAAAGCTCTCAAACAGGCCAAAAATGTTGTGCGCTCCATCTGTGCATCAAACCTACAATGTGCAAATTTCAGGGATACTATTGTGACAGGTAATGAAAAGCAATGGTTCCAAGGAAACAAAGGTGAGCCCATAAAGCTCCCTATAGTCGAACTGCTACTCGACGAACCAACATGCTGGGATTCAGTTTATGTCATGCTTAATTGTCTATGAAATCTATGTCAGGTGAGGCCTCATCTCACTAAACATCTGTCATGGACTAACAGTTACCCAGGCGGTTGATTTATTCTTTGAGTCTGCCACATCAGGAAACCTACAATTTTGCTGATGTTGCTGTTGCCTACTGAACTGTCTGATATCAGACATACAGGTAATGCAGTCATGCAGCAATTGCTGAAATCAGTGTCATGCCTAAAATCAGTGGTGAACAGCTCTACAGACACCCAGAGGTACTGTTTGTGTACAATTCAGGGTGCCAGTTTCTAAGAGATGTAATACATCAGATATGTAGTTTAGTTTGTATAACAGCCCCACAGCACATAACATAACATCAGGACATTGCAATGGTCAAAATATCAAAAATACAAAAAATCATATTCAAAGTAACTACTACATTGGCATCTATACTACTGACTAAGAGAGACACTAAAATAGACAAAAATGCGAAGATAGAGGCCAAAAAGAGGTTAGAGAAAGAAGAGACTTACTGAAAAGACTAAAGAATGCGAAAATAGATAGACTAGAAATGAGCAGGGAGTCAGTCTTCAGAGGAGAGGAGAGGAGAGGAGATAAGTGACTTACCAAAAGGACCAAAAATGCGAAAATATATAGGCTATAAGTGAACAGGGTCAGTCTTTAGAGGAGAGAATAGGAGAGGGGATAAGTGACTCACCAGGGCACCAATTCCAAAGTCCCATCCACACCAACACTCACATCAACACCAACATATCCCAACTTGAATATCCAGGAGCCTGGCCTAAGAGTAAGGGTGGGGAAAGAAAAGGATTGAAAGGAAAGAAAGAGAAGAAGACAAGAAGACTTGAATAATAGGGTTTGGGATAAAAATATTTTGGTAATTATTAGCAAGCTTTTTAGCCAGGTAGGTCTGGGGGAGTTATTAACTAGTGGATTATTAGCTGCTTTTTAGCCAATCACATGATGTTGATTTTTAGCAGGTGAAAAACTCGCTAATAATCCTAGCTAATTAGCCAATGCAAAAAACACTCATTCCCATACCTCCAGCCACTTGTCATCACTTCCATTGATATCCTCAGCCTCAGCCTTGCCCTTGCCCTTCCCTGTGCTGTCCACATTAGGCCACGATTCTGCCAACACTGCCAACAAACCATCCGCACTCAAATCTACCTCGGATTCAATGTCGAAGTCGGCATTTGTCACCATGGCTGCCACAGAACTTGTTTGAGCATGATCAATTGGGCTGGAGTGTGGAGGTTCCAAGCAGAAATATTGGTGAACACTTGGCAAAGCAGCCTGATGGGTGGAAGTGACGGACGGAATGGCAAACTTGACGAATGCAGAGATGGGAATGTCTGAGGCAGGGAAAAGAGTTACGGCCAGATATTCTGGAATCGAGTACATCTGCATGAATCCAACATCAGCGTGACCGTGATGCTCAATGTCGTCGTGAACCTCAATGGTATTCATAAGGGTGATCTTTTGGTGTGGGTGTGGTTGGTTGAAATGATTCGCAATGTTGAACGGCACGCACAGTGTGGCTCATACCTGGAAAATTTTAAAACCATTATCTATGGTAACTATTCGATCATATGTCAGTAGTAGAAGCTAGCCGGTCGTATTCCTGACCTGATCACTTGATATCTGAGGCACAGCCAGTTGTAGGGAGTTATTAGCATTATTAGCCTCGTGAATTTTGCGGCGAGATATTAGTGTGTTAATAGCTAGTTATTAACAGGCTAATTAGCATGTTGCTAATAAGCAGGGAGTTTTCTCCCAAACCCTATTGAACAATGTTAAAAGACTTGAACCATTGAACACATTTTTGATTATATAAGCTTTCCCACCTAATTTCAACCAACATCACATGACTGCTTAGATTATCAAAAATGCGAAATTTCACTACGTCCCTACAACACTATGGTACATCCACATTAGTGTAATAATGTAGTATATATATTGTATGCATATAATACAATACAATAGAGCTTATTTTAATATATATCTATCTAATATAACTATTCAAGAATCAGTATTGTACACCATCAGATAATGAACAAACATGTTAAATGTTGAGCTGATTGTAGTGTGTGGTGAGCGGGCATTTCCTAATTAGGCAATAGGGTGCTAGTGCAGACATCTGCACTTGTGCCTGACATACTATATATGGTGTCATTTGGTTTGCAAACTGTCATTCGTTGATTCTCAATTTAGACAACCTCAAATTTCTGGCAGTGGTAAGTCACTGAGATCTATTGAGTACTGAGTGATAGGAAATTGTATACACTGCAGAATTGTATATATGTACCTTCTGATAATCTAGAGGCTAGTCAAGCTAATATTGCTGAATGACTGACTAACTTTTTTTTTGAAAGTCTGATATCCCTGGATGTTCTGTAATTTTTTTGGTCTGATAATCTGATGTGTCTGCACAATTGATATGTGCTGATTGTTACTGATTGTTACTGATATCAGAAAAGCTGATGTTCTGAATGACTGTATAACTTTCTTTTGAAGTCTAACATCCCTGGATGTTGACGCATTAGCGCACGTGTTTCTGCGACTCGACCACGGCATGTCGGAGCTACAATGTTTGGCATTCAAACATCTCTATATATGTTCCATTTCCTGCTGTACTACTCTTCCCTCAGTCCATTGTATCACACTGAGGGTGAGTTTTATCTTTCTGTCTTGCTGTATCTATATTACTTACACTCATACTCAGGATACTGATACTAGTGTCTAGGTTCTTAAAGGTTATGAGCCCTGGCTCATTGTAATCAACAGCCGGAAACCTGCTAGACCAATCAGTGTTCAAACAACCTGATATGGACACTTGCGCCCTGAGCACGTACCTCCTATTTGACAGAACTTCCTCAAACATAGAACCATTGCCTCTTCGGGCAAAAGGCCTGAGCACACACATATATAACACAACAGAGACAATATTTCCCTCCGAGCTACCCTTAGCCTTAAACACCCATCATGCCGCCTCGTGCCCCTCATGCATGATCCAAAAGTTCTCAAGCCACACCTGCATTGGTACAAACCACCACAACCTCTGTAGCACAGCCATCGATCACAACTATACTCTTAGTCAAACTGACTTGAAAGAAATAGAGATTTTAGATCAAAGCAAGAATAACTGGGGATTATGGTCGGACAAAATGCAAAATTACCTTTTTCTTAAAGCATGGTGGCAGGTACATTCTCGGCCTGATTCCTCATCCGAACCCTGTCACTGACCCTTCCAGCGCCAGTCACTGGGACCTTAACAACCTCTGCATCATTGCAGTGCTTCGTACTCACTCCAGTCCTGAGGAACAAGAATTCCTTTGTCCTCATACAAACACTTACCTCGCTTGGGGGGCCCTTCGATCCTGCCACGAGAAAATAGGTCCCATTGCGCAAATTCTGATGATCCAACAGGCCCTAACCATGTGCTATCATCGGTCTGAACACCTCTCCACAACGCGCACTGAGATCAGTGATATGGTTAGATGCATATATGCTATAGGAATCCCTAAAGAAGACGACTTTACCACCATCATTATGCTCAATGCTATGAGTGACAAACTCCCTCATGTCAGAAACCATATTGCTGATGCCCTCTCCACCAGCACGTCTGCTGCCACCTATGGACCAGCAAACATTCGCTCATGCTTAGACATGGAACAACAGCTCCTTGACGCTGAGAAGAAAGGATCTGGCGATATTGCCATGGTTGCTAATAAGGGAAATCGTAGCCGAGAGGCCTGCCCGGGCAAAACCTGCACTGAATGTGGTACCCTCGGCCATTCGACTTGTTGTTCCACATGCAACAACTGGGGACATGTAGCTAAGGATTGTTTTGCCAAAGGGGGGGCTATGGAAGGCAAGTGTGATGAGGTTCCATCATGCAAATGCAATGCACATGAGGATAAGAACTCCACCAATACTAAACCTACCACCAAGTCTACTACAACCAGCAAACCTGGTGGATTGTGGTATGACACTGGCAGACGTGCTTACCTCCTCGATAGCGAAACTCACAAAGCCATATATGTCGCTAATATGCAGTCTTCTCCTACCCCCGAGCCTCCTTCCTCCACTCAGAAATTTGTGGGTCTCGCATATGACCCCCTTCCTTCTGCTCACATCCGAGAGCTTCCTGGCTCTGATGACAAAGAGTACAATGCTCTATTCATGGCTGTCAATGAGCTAAAGATGAGCATTGACTGGCGAACTCACACGAAGCATGTCGACTTCACCGGCATCACTTACAAGGCACCAAACCAGCACAAACACACTATTGTGGACCCATCTCTAACCCTTTTCTTTCTTGATAGTGGGGCCTCCATTCATATTAGTAACACTGAGTCCGACTTCTATTCTCTGTGCCCAGTTCCTCCCCGTGCTGTTCATGGCATTGGTGGATCATCCATTGCAGCTATTGGTATTGGGTCTATATGCCTTATCATTGCGAAGGGCATTCATTTGATGTTAGACCACGTTCTTTTCATTCCTACCGCCAGTGTGTTTGATCTCAGTGTCTGCCATTTGCGCTGCCCACTGCTGCATTGCATCGTTCGACGCCACATCCTGCTGGGTCCAGGGACAAAATGGTACCTGCATGCTTACAGGCTCTCTGACATCTTGTTGTCTATACACCTTATCCAGGGGACAACTCTCGGCGGATCATGCCCTCCTTGCTACACATCAACCAGACCTTCAATCCTGGCACCATTGCCTAGGACATGCTCATTATCGTGCTATCTACGATCTTGCACGTTCTGGCTATGCAACTGGTATGCCCATTAACCTATCTACTCAACCCTCCATTTGTGACGACTGCATTCTTGGAAAACAGACCAAGTCTAGCATTTCGAAGGTTAGAGTGGGGGTCCGTGCAGACAGACGGTTAGGCATAGTACACGTTGACTTGATGGAGCATCCCGATGTTGTATCCGCTGCAGGGAATAAGTACATAATGGACATCATAGATGATTTCTCTTCCTACTGTTGGGCCATCCCCCTCGCCTCCAAAAGTGACACTTTCAAATCACTTGTCACCTGGGAACGTGCACACGAACTTGAAACTGGTCTGAAGGTCAGGATTTACCGCTCAGATAACGGAGAACTCAAGTCTGATGCCATGCATGAATAACTCCTCACGTGTGGTACTCAACACCAGTTTACAGCACCGTATACATCTGCTCAAAATGGCAGGGTTGAACACCTCCACCATACGCTCATGGGATGTGCTCGTGCAATGCGCTCTGATTGCAAAGTTCCCCCCAATCATTGGGATGAATTTGTACTAACAGCATGTTACCTCTCCAACTGTACTCCTGTCATTTCACAATTAGGACATACTCCCTTTGAGAGTTGGTTTGGACGCAAACCAGACCTCTCTCACTTATGAGAGATAGGTTGTCGTGCATTTGTTAGTCGTGCATTTGTTTTTATCCAAAATCGCCACAATCCTAAGATCTACAACAGATCAATTGAATGTGGGCTTATTGGTTATTCCCTCGATTCCAAGGCATACCGGTATTATCATTGTGCCTCACATAAGGTTTTCATTTCATACAATGTGTCTTTCATTGAGTCTCACCAATCCAATGCTGTTCTACTACACCCTGGCGTATCAATCAGTTGGCAATCAGACTGACCCTGCGACCGACCCATTAGGGAAACCCCCATCTCGGTGCACATCGGTTGAAGATGACCCTGTCGACAATCTCTCCAACCAGGACAATGTTGCCGATCAGCTTCGTCAATCAACCCATACAATTATACCATCCAAACGACAATGTGCACTCGATGGTAAACCATATACCTCCGCAACACAATGAGCTGTCCTGGAATCCATGAAAGCCACAGAACGTCTGCAGGCCCTAAAGCCATCCATACCTTCTACTGCTGATGACATGGCTTTGTTCTCTGACCTCCTTGCAGCCATGCCAGATCATCTAGTGACAGAACACCCCGATGATCCTTCCACATATACTGAGGCAATGGCTTCACCCGACCCTGCTTCCTGGACCAAAGCACTCCAGGAGGAGTTCAATTCTCTGCAAGACCTTGGCGTATATAAGCTTGTACCACGCACATCTGTCCCAACAGGCCGAAAAATCATGAAAGGCCGACCTGTCTTCAAACTGAAAGGTGACCAAAATGGTCTTCCTGTTCATTTCAAAGCATGGTATGTATGTCGAGGATACTCAGCAGTCTGGGGTCAAGACTATACAAAAACTTCGGCACCCACTGCACGACTCGAATCCTTTTGTATCCTCGCTCATATAGGTGCCGCACTTGACTGGGAGATCGATCAGCTTGATATCAAGACAGCATTCCTCTACAGCTTACTTGATCCCGATGAGGTGTGTTACATGGAACAACCTGAAGGCTTTGTTGAGCCTGGAATGGAGGATCACGTCTGGGAGCTACAACGAGGGCTCTACGGCATGAAACAAGGTGGTCTTGTGTGGAATAGAACACTAAATGCTGCGATGCTTGCCTGGGGTTTTACACACCTGAAATGCAAACATTGTATGAATTACAGATGCACCGATTCCGGCACTCTCCTTGTTGTGATCCACATTGACAATTTCTTCACCATCAGCAGTACTAAAGATGCTATAACTGCATTCAAGGCTGAACTATGAACCAAATGGACGGTTTCTGACCTTGGGGATGCACACTTTTGCCTCGGAATTGCACTTGAATGCAACCATGCCTCTCATACCATCAAACTCTCTCAATGCGCTCTAATTGACAAGATTGTCAAGCAATTCAGACCTACAGATGCAGTCCCTGTCTCCACTCCCATGGAACCAGGTCTCCAGCTATCTCAAAAACACCACTCCCCAACCTCTGACGACGACCGTGCTCAGATGCCTTGTACACCTTACCAATCACTTGTCGGCTCACTGACGTATCTCACAATTGGAACCCACCCCGATATCGCCTATGCAGTACAACAGCTTTGCAAGTTCCTTGACAGTTCTGGTCAAGCACATTGGGAAGCTGCTAAACAAGTGGTCAGATACCTCAAGGGAACCTGGGAGACTTGCCTTGTTCTTGGAGGTGAACACACCACACGACTACTTGGATACACAGATAGTGACCTAGCAAGCTGTGTTGACACACAACGATCTGTAAGCGGGTACTGCTGCACCCTCGGTAGCTGGATTATCACATGGAGTGCAAGACAACAAAAGACTGTTTCTCTCTCGACCTGCAAAGCTGAATATGTCACTGCATCTGAGGCTGCCTGCAAAATCAAATGGCTGCATACCCTCCTCAGTGAACTCGAATTTCCCCAATTAGCTGCCACACCCCTGCTTTGTGATAACAATGGCAGCATTGTTTTATCTGAAGACTCATCATTTCACACACGTGTTAAACAAATTGATATCAAATACCATTCAATCTGTCAGCACGTCAAACAAGGTCGCCTAAAATTACACTACATCAAATCGAAAGACAATCTTGCCAACATATTCACAAAGGCACTCCCTCATAAAGACTTTGAACATCTTCGCAGCTGCTTGGGCCTCCAGTGAACTCATCGAGAAGGAGTCTACAACCGTGGATCAAGTCGAGAAGGAGTGTTGATGCATTAGCACATGTGTTTCTGTGACTCGACCACAGCATGTCGGAGCTACAATGTTTGGTGTTCAAACATCTCTATATATGTTCTATTTCCTGCCATACTACTCTTCCCTCAGTCCGTTGTATCAGACCGAGGGTGAGTTTTATCTTTCCGTCTCGCCGTACCTAGATTACTTACACTTGTACTCAGGATACTGATACTAGTGTCTAGGTTCTTAAACTGGACACTCTGTAATTTTGTTGGTCTAATAATCTGATATATCTGCACAACTGATGTGTGCTGATTGGTACTGATTGTTACTGATATCAGTAATACAGAGAAATCAGGACATTCAGCAGAATTGTAGGTTTCCTGATGCAATCAATGCTCCATATACAACAAAAAGTTGAGTCCAATAGAATGGCATTTCCTACAGGACTTTGAAGTAATTCTGGAAGTCAGAACCAATGTCTTCACAACCTATGTCGCATTTAACTATGTAATGTCAGCCCCCCCACAGAGCTCAGCAATCTATGTCAAGTGAGAGCACTCCCATATTAGGTAGTGCAGTTCCAGCTTTTAAAAGATTACTCGAGGATTGGAAGCAGTTTGTCGATGGCGCCCCACACTGTGCACCGCTTGTCAACATTGGTTTGACTTGGGTGGAGAAGTATGATGACCGGATGGCTTGCACGAATGCATATGTGTTACAAGAACATCTAGACGCTTGGGCCCCTACCATTTTTCTCCTAATCCTCCTCGTATCAGCCCTCGCGTCATACCCTTACCCCGACCTTACCCTTGTTATCCTCGTCATCCTCGCATTCCCTTTTGCCCTCTACCTGTCGCTTCAGCAAAGCCAGTACATCTGGCCGGGCCCTTTCGCTGACGAAGCATACCCGTGCTCCGTTTCACCACCTGACTGATCCTGTGGACAGTCCCTTTGCCCTTACCGTCCGGATAGTAACCTATGATCTGATGCACGACGCATCCCCTTTGCCCTTTTCCCTTTCTTGATCTTTGACTCGGTGCGCAGTCGCACATGCAACTTATACTTAGATCTGCAGCTGCACGATCGTGCCCCTGCATGTTTCACTTCTTATTCCGATCTTTGACTCATGTTCTTATCTAGCACGTTCTACCTCGACCGAACGTGCCTTCCTGTTATAGTCATACCCTTTAACGATTGCCTCTCCCGGTAGTACGAGTTATCACCCACTAATATGTCTCCTGTCCTCTATATAAACTCGCTACCATGTACTATATTCCCTAACTTGAATCTACTTGGTTCTTGACCTCCTACTCTCACCAGAGTGATCTTTCTGCCTCGCCAGCAGTCTATATTCTATCTTCTTATCTGCTCCTCGCGGATAAGCCTATAGTCTCGATCTTTACTCATCGACTTCGTTGACGAGCAAAGCCCCCGTTAACTAGTCGGACTTCTGTCCTTCTAAATTAACGACGATCCTTACGATTAACCTTCGGGTGTCGTAAGCCTAGGCCGATATAGCTTATCGTCTCGCACCCGCTTGACATAAGCTACCCAATTTGGACATAGGCGTCAAATCTTACTTGCCGAAGCCTCGCCAAGTAAGACCCCTAACCTTGGGCTAGCCCAAGGACGTCCTTGACCGTTGACGACACACGCTCTGTTTGAGCGTCGCCAACAGATACCATCCAAGTCGTAACAATATGCAGTTGCGATGTGTCAATCTCTCGTATTTTCATAAAAGTTGATGTCTTATAATTTATTTTATAGTTGTTGATCCTATGTGCCAAATGTCTTGGGCCATGGATCATTGGGATGAAAATTGAGTTAATTTAGCGAAGAAATTCATTCTCAAACTAGTACGTTTATTTAACTAATGACATCATGCACTCATATGTCCTGCAGATGCATACCAAGAGAGCACAAAGGACCCCTGATGTACCAGTTCCAACCCATCAAGTCTTGGGACTAGGGTCACGTATCTATGGACTTCCTGAGAGGAATGTACTGCCCAATTGCCACGATATTGTCCAGACAGTCGACCAGGAATTTGGGGCTTACAGCACAGCTAATATCAGCCCCGAGGGAACAAATGTACTCTTCTTCTGGCAGGTGAGAGTCTTATTCTCTCTTAAATTATATCTTTCATCATTGACCACGAGGTTTTGACAAGATGTCCAAGGCAACGTTCCCAACAGTATACGCCATCGCTATGGACTACCTCCCAATCCAGGCATCTGATGTTCCCTGTGAGCGGGTATTCTCATCAAGCAGCAAACCATATACAAAAAAACGCAACTCCATCAGCCCAGTCCTCATGGAGGCACTACAGATGGTGAAGTTCTCTGTAAAAAAGGAGCGACTCAATTTTACCAGAGATTGGGCAGCGTCACACTGGGCCATGGAAAGTGTGATGGTGTCTGACAATGGCTCTGGCAAGCTTTTGGCGCCTGTCTCCAGTGGAACTACGGGTGACAGTCGTGCATATGATGCTGTTCTCAAAGCCATTGCAGAGCATGAGTGTGATGATGTTGACGACCAGGTCACCATCTATGATACCTGATATCTCCTCGGTCTGAATGGATTTTTTCTTCATGTTTCTTAATTTTGTTTACCATCACATATCTTACAATTCTTTGTGTGCTATGTTTTTATATCTGATTTCAATTGTCACCTTAAATGCATCTGACAAGTCTCTTGGTCTAGGCTATCCAGATCTTCTTCAGTACCCTTCTGGGTGAGAACATCACATCCTCAGATTCTATTGAGTTCGAGTCATGCTGACCAGAGATGTTGCTCATCTGTTGACAATGACAGGATGTCGGTTTGTTGATACCATAGAAATCACTGATGCACTATTAATGGGTCTTCTGCAAATCCAACTTCAGTCAGAAAGAAAGGTGAGTTGTCCATCTTTGTGCTTTGCACAGTTGATGTTACTCTGTCTTATGTTGCTTAGTGTTTGAAGTGTTTGATGCACTCCTCTACATTTTTCCCATTGTTAAGTTATAGTTTTTTTTAAATCTGTGATGCCTGTTCCATTCATATGGCACTCTGAAGTCAACATTTTCATTATCATTATTGCCACTGGCCCTGGCAAATGCAAGAGTGATTGATGTCTGCATCATTGACCAAAGGTCAGTGATTCAATCACTTTCATTTCTGCTTTTAACTTGACTTTGCACTAGAGCTGGTGCCCGTGGTCGTGAGAGTCCTAGTAGCTATTTGTACTGTAAGTTTTGTTGCCTACTATGAGGGAGCTACTGGCCGTTTAGTAGTTGATGCTGAGTACGTGGTTGTTGCTCGCTATCCTGAGTCTATCATAACTCATTTGTGACTCATTAGTCAGGCCAAGGTCGAGTTTGGAGAGGTAATGGCCTCTTACCTAAAACTTAGCCCTGACGGGTTGAAAGTTCTCTGGCCTCAACCCGCCAATGACCCAAACACCCACAAAATCGCATCAATATTTGGCCTCGCTCAAACTTATGACACGACCTCAGGTGTCATCAACAATGTGATGTTGAAGTGCGTGATTTATTGTTCATTACTTACATTTACATTCAATAACAACTTGTTGAAGCTGGAGCATCTTCCTTCTGGGTGAGGTCACACCTTTACATGGGAATAGCCTTTTCTCATCTGTAGTCAAGGTTGGGGAGGCATCTTCTGGGTCATGCTCATGAGACACTATGGTCAGCTGCCAGTGCTCTTCTGAAGTCAGGTATATGTTTCCAGTGATTTGGCTAACATTAACCCTGAAACTGTTAAGTGCAGCTTTTTGCACTTGTGTTCTTAGTTGGTGCTACATTGGCACCAAATATAGCTGCCTTTGCAAGTTGTCATTTTTCTCATGCCTGCATCAAGCTGATTACAGTTTCAGAACATGTCCCCAGGTGACAGTATGATTAGTAGCAATTCTCGTGGTAGCTCCAACATTTACCAACCTCGAAGGGTCTTTACGTCATGACGGATATCTTCCCCTTCCATTTTCAAGTATGGAAGCTGAACATCTGAACTTCGGATTTTGTTATGTCAGAGAAGAAATTCCTTTAGTGGGAGAGGCATTTCTCACTATCTCATAGATCGCCTTTCCTATCACCATTCACATTTGGCTTTCTTGTTGCGTGTATGAGGTACATCTTATATATGCTGTCCTTGATTCAGAATATTTATCAATTGTTGGATAGCTGGAGGTGGGCCTATGCTATAGGATCTAGTTACGGTGCCATTGTATTATTTCTCATTGTGTTTTTCATGAAAGAAACGTACATTCTGATATACTGTTTTTTTGGGCAGCTGATGTTAACTTTGCTGAACAAGTATGTATGATCATCGCCTTGCATCACATGGTGAGTTGTAATGATTATTTTTTTTGAATCAAATTATTGTTCTTTGGGGTATGCTACCCTATGTTGGACACTACTAGCTAGTGTTACGACTTGGATGGTATCTGTTGGCGACGCTCAAACAGAGCTTGTGTCGTCAACAGGTTGAGGACATCCTTGGGCTAGCCCAAGGTTAGGGGTCTTACTTGGCGAGTTTCGGCAAGTAAGATTTGACGCCTATGTCCAAATTGGGTAGCTTATGTCAAGCGGGTGCGAGACGATAAGCTATATCGGCCAATGCTTATGACACCCGAAGGTTAATCGTAAGATCGTCGTTAATTAGAAGGACAGAAGTCTGACTAGTTAACAGGGGCTTTGCTCGTCGACGAAGTTGATGAGTAAAGATCGAGACTATAGGCTTATCTGCGAAGAGCAGATAAGAAGATAGAATATAGACTGCTGGCGAGGCAGAAAGGATCACTCTGATGAGAGTAGGAGGTCAAGAACCAAGTAGATTCAAGTTAGGGAATATAGTACATGGTAGCGAGTTTATATAGAGGACATGAGGAGTATTAGTGGGTGATAACTCGTACTACCAAGAGAAGCAATCAGTAAAGAGTATAACCATAAAAGGAAAGCACATTCGCATTGAGACACGGGTGAGGCAGAACGTGCTGGATAAGAAAGTGAGTCAAAGATCGAAATAGGAAGTGAAATGCGCAGGGACACAATCGTGCAGCTGCGGAGCTATCTATGGGTCGCATGTGCGACTGCGTACTGAGCCAGAGATCAAGAAAGGAAAGAGGGCAAAGGGGATGTGTCATGCATCATCTCATAGGTTACCGTTCAGACGGTAAGGGCAAGGGGACTGTCCACAGGATCAGTCAGGTGGTGGAACGGAGCATGGGTATGCTTCGTCAGCGAAAGGATCCGGCCAGATGTACTGTCTCTGCTGAAGTGATAGGTAGAGAGCGAAAGGGAATGCGAGGATGACGAGGATGACAAGGGTAAGGTCGGGGTAAGGGTATGACGCGAGGGCTGATATGAGGAGGATTAGGAGAAAAATGGTAGGGGCCCAAGCGTCTAGATGTTCTTGTAACAACTAGTCTATGGGGCCCCTGTGCCCCATGCCTCATCTCTGGGTTTGTGGGTGTCCCAGGATAGGATGGTACTTCCTGGTTTGCCATTTCTGCCAGCTGTTTTAGGTACACAACTTATCGAAGATGCGAGCATTTGATCATTGTAAATGTGTACTCAGCTGCCAAAGCATCCAAGACTGTAAGATTTTCTTGCAATCAAAATGGTTAGAGAGTCTGAATGTGTTCTAAACTAGGCTCAGAACTGTTCACTCAATTGTCCCTCCGTCTCTCACACACGTCCCCACAAATGGCTCAATATGCAAGTGCATTCTACTCATATATTCTCCATACAGCACAAGTTCTGCATACTTCTGCAACAACTAATTCCTCTCGCACCTTCCAACCTGACCTCTCCACACATCTGCAACACTTATTCCTCCTGCACTTTCCAACCCAGCCTCTTCAACACTGCACACCACCATCTCTTCATTGGCCATTCCTGGACTGATCTCTCACTTTGCGAAGCCTCTGCTAGCTTTGTTGCCCTTATCCTCTTCACCTAAGCCCGCTCTGCCTTCATCTTGCGAGTGCGATCAATGCTGCAATACAACTAATTTTCTTCAACTTAGCATTCTGAACATGGATCCAATCACTTACATTTTTTTGAGCACCCATCATGAGTTGTGATTCTCAGTATCAAATGTGCATTCAGTGACTTTAGGGTAGCATTGAATCAAGTAGGATCAAATCCGATCGCTAAGGCCTACAGCATATTTCCTGTTTTGGTGTTTGACCCGAATTTTCTATTCTACATCTACATATTTTGCAACAAGGTAAGCATCAGGTACAGAGACAATTTTGCAGATGCTCATGCATGCCTCAACCACGCATTTCTCTCACCACAAAACACATTTGTTGACGAATTCGAGGTATGATGACCTGCTGATGTGCGCTTCCCTCTGTTAATTGCTTTTCATCCTTAGATGATCAAGCATGGAGACTGGATGGTCTCTGACATTACTCACAATGCCTTTGATCTCAAGGGCAAGGTCATTGGCACCATTGGTGCTGACCATATTGGTTACTGTGTCCTCCAGTGTCTGCTTCCCTTTGACTGCAAGGAAGAACTGTTGTGATACACAGTTATTTACAGTAGGTAATGAAGACAGAGATACATCGAATATTGTGTAATATGTATAAAAGTCTACTTTGATAATAGTGTTGATAAATCACAACGACCAAAGGTCACCACTTGTAGAAAATATGGAGATGTAGAATATTCTGATTTTAAATTTGGCTTAAGCTGGCTAAAGCCTGTAAATATAGTTTCTTTGGCTGGACCGGGCCATGTATTACATAATGTATAACTACATACATGGCTTGGCTAACTATGGCTCCGGCTCCAGCTAAAGCTGGACATAAACCAGAACTATGGCAACACTAGTGACTGGACATAGGTGCGACAATATCCAATGATGTCCAATGCAATGTCCAATGGAAAGTGCGAAAGTCCAAAGCTAAGTGCATCAGATCTGATGCAGAAAGGCTTGTACATGTGCAGAAATGTGTCAGACATGTTTAGGAATGATTCAGATATGTTGCGGATGATTTGGAATAAGTAGTGTTTGATGTATGTGTTGAAAACACTGGTTCTGAGCTCAGCCTGAGGACCATCATTACATCGCTCTTGTGACAACTCAACCATCTCATTGTACAAGATTTTTATAACTGCATCAACAGGTGAAGGGCAGACAACTGGTGCACGAGACTTAGATAGTCACTGCAAACCATGAGTAAAATTCCCTTGTATCTAAGGACACAGAGAAAGTGGGCAGAAAATCAACCCAGAATATAGAGTAAAGGAATGGTATATATAAAGTAGCTAAGCGCCACTAGGCGCACAGGTCTGAAGTGACAAGCTGAACAGGCTATAAATAGTATGCAAGGTATGTAATAGGGTCTCAGCTGCATGCATAGCGCAAAGCCGAGCATTAGCAGGGGAAAACAATTAAGCAAAATGGGAATATAGTGAGAAAATGCACCAATGAACATCCAAGGACATGGGAAGGACAGATGGATGAGTGTACGGACAATGCGAGGACGGATGTGTGGTGTGTGCGAGATGTAAGTGGTTGCACATGGAATCTGTTACAAGAACATCTAGACGCTTGGGCCCCTACCATTTTTCTCCTAATCCTCCTCATATCAGCCCTCGCATCATACCCTTACTCCGACCTCACCCTTGTCATCCTCGTCATCCTCGCATTCCCTTTCGCCCTCTACCTGTCGCTTCAGCAAAGCCAGTACATTTGGCCGGACCCTTTCGCTGACGAAGCATACCTGTGCTCCGTTTCACCACCTGACTGATCCTGCGGACAGTCCCTTTGCCCTTACCGTCTGGACGGTAACCTATGACACGATGCATGATGCATCCCCTTTGCCCTGTTCCCTTTCTTGATCTTTGACTCAGTGCGCAGTCGCACATGCAACTTATACTTAGATCCGCAGTTGCACGATCGTGCCCCTGCGCGTTTCACTTCTTATTCCGATCTTTGACTCACTTTCTTATCCAGCACGTTCCACCTAGATCGAACGTGCCTTCCTATTATGGTCTTACCCTTTACCGATTGCCTCTCCCGGTAGTACGAGTTATCATCCACTAATACGTCCCCTGTCCTCTATATAAACTCGCTACCATGTACTATATTCCCTAACTTGAATCTACTTGGTTCTTGACCTCCTACTCTCACCAGAGTGATCCTTCTGCCTCGCCAGCAGTCTATATTCTATCTTCTTATCTGCTCTTCGCGGATAAGCCTATAGTCTCGACCTTTACTCATCGACTTCGTTGACGAGCAAAGCCCCTGTTAACTAGTCAGACTTCTGTCCTTCTAATTAACGACGATCCTTACGATTAACCTTCGGGTGTCATAAGCCTAGGCCGATATAGCTTATCGTCTCGCACCCGCGTGACATAAGCTACCCGATTTGGACATAGGCGTTAAATCGTACTTGCCGAAGACCCGCCAAGTACGACCCCTAACCTTGGGCTAGCCCAAGGACGTCCACAGACCGTTGACGACACAAGCTCTGTTTGAGCGTCGCCAACAGATACCATCCAAGTCGTAACAGAATCTGCGAAATAAAATATTGTGCTCTATTGTGCAAGATGTATCCTTAGGATTAGAGCTGGAGTTTGTAAGGAAGATGGGAGAATTTGAGGGAAGTGTCTGTGGAGATGTGAGTCTCTACACTGGTGCCTGAATTGACAATGGTGCCTTGGTGCTCTGCAGGTATGTTCATGGACTTAGCAATTACAGCAAGATCTGACATTATGAATGCATAGTTGTCCTGGGTTTCAGACTCCTTGGCAGCATTGGCACTCTGTGTTAAGAATGTGCTCAAGGGTCAAATTCAAAGGGCTTGGCTTCAGCTCATGCGCTGCACCCCTTACCTGAGTATGTGCCCCTAACTTCTGAAGGCTAATGGACGATGTCCAGAGTCTGATGTCCGAAGCACAAGAGTTCCAGCAGATGTTCAGGAACAGGTGATAAAACTAATCCAGATGATGTCCAAACTAGAAGGGAAACAGCGGAGGACTACCAGAGGTAGAGGCAGAGGTGATAAGTCTATAGGGATTAACCCAAAAACTTTAGCAGAGGTCAACAAGAGGAGAACTCAAGACAGACAGAGGAGGGAATGAGCAGAGTCTAAGATAATATTTGAACTAAGGTAGTCTAACTTTAGAGGGAACATACAAAGGGATAAGGCACAGAAGTTAGACGTGGGTCGGATCCAGATGATAGATAGAAGTCGGCCAGATCCGGAAACTTGGAAATGGTAATGGTTTGTGTGATAGGTCCAGGTCCGGAATGCGGGATATGACACTAATGGTAGGTAGCAGTGGCCGCCCCAGACCATTTTTTGTCAGTACTGTGGTAAGGATGTTGTATTTTTCTATCTATTGAGGATCACACTTGCAAGCCATGACATATTCTGTTATGACTTGGATAGTATCTGTTGGCGATGCTCAAACAGAGTGTGTGTCGTCAACGGTCGAGGACATCCCTGGGCTAGCCCAAGGTTAGGGGTCTTACTTGGTGAGGCTTCAGCAAGTAAGATTTGATGCCTATGTCCAAATTGGGTAGCTTATGTCAAGCGGGGCTCGAAGATAAGTGTATCTGCCAAGGCTTACGACACCCAAAGGTTAATTGTAAGATCTGTGTTAATTAGAAGGACAGAAGTCCAACTAGTTAACAGGGGCTTTGCTCATCGACGGAGTCAATGAGTAAAGATCGAGACTAAAGACTTATCCGTGATGAGCAGATAAGAAAGTAGAATATAGACAGCTGGCTAGGCTGAAGGAATCACTCTTGTTAGGAGTAGGAGGTCAAGAACCAAGTAGATTCAAGTTAAGGAATAGGATACATGGTAGCAAGTTTATATAGAGGAGAGGATGCATATTAGTGGATGATAACTTGTACTACCAGAAAGGGAACTGGTCAAAGGGTAATACTAGAAAAGGAAGGCACATTCGAGGTGAGTCATAGGCGAACCGGAACGTGCAAGTAAGAAATGAGTCAAAGATAGAAACAGGAAGTGAAACGCACAGGGGCACAATCATGCAACTGCAGAACTAAATATAAGTATACATGTGCGACTGCGCACCGAGTCATAGATCGAGAAAGGGAATAGGGCAAAGGGGATGCGTCGTGCATCGTATCATAGGTTACTGTCCGGACGGTAAGGGCAAAGGGGACTGTCCACAGGATCGGTCAGGGGGTGGAATGGAGCATGGGTATGCTTCGTTGGAGAAAGGATCTGGCCAGATGTACTGGCTCTGCTGAAGCGACAGGTAGAGAGCGAAGGGAAATGCAAGGATGACAAGGATAACAAGAGCGAGGTTGGGGTAAGGGTGTGATGCAAGGGCGGAGACGAGGAGGATAAGGAGAAAAATGGTAGGGGCCCAAGCGTCTAGATGTTCTTGTAACATATTCCAACACAATTGTGAATGTCTTATCTTTAGATGCCAATTTGTCAATGCTTATGTATCACTTTGTCTAGCTTTACCTTTACATACAATTTGGTAGATTTTTGGTCTGATCTTACCAAATAAATCTAGGAAAAGCATTGTCTCACCAATTTTGTGATGTGGTAAGCTCTAAATCCAACACTTGCAAGCTGGAGAAACTAGCTGAAGGAGGCTATGACAAAGTCTGTCTGGCCTCATGGGGGCATGGTGCCATCCCATCATGGTACAAATTATGTTTGATATTTTTATAGGTATATGATATCTTGTGATCAGATTCTACTGTTGTTTGAATGGTCTCTCCTGCCAATGTGTTGAATCCTGTTCAACTTTTCAAGCAAAATTCATGGTCTTGGATAAAATAAATTGCCAAACCTAACATGTCCCATCTGAGATGTTTTACTCATTCCACTCAAGGTAAATGAAGAAGACCATAGCATTGCAGGTTGCACATTAGTTCTTGGAGATATTCTCTCTTCGATTTGAAAGCACAGGATCTCTGAATACTTTTTGAGCTCGGCCATTCATAATACTGGGGCTGCAACTGCACTGTTTCTGGGATTAAGGAGATAAAATTATAGGAGTTGACAATGTAAAGTATACAGAACAAGATAGCAAAAGGCACATACTATTCTGCAGATACATTGCATGTCAGTTTATGGACGAATTAGGTACTACTAGATAACCTTGAACTATTGGAGCAATCTTGTCAGAAACGCCATTCAGAATGTCTATAGTCTCATTCTGATAGAAATGTCAGCCATGGATGATAGATGATCAGTGGACTTGGACTCTTACCCAAACAGTGTTCTGAAATTTACGACCCTCGTCGCTCAGCACAAAATCAGCGACCTCTATGAGGCGGCCAAGGTTTACGTATCCGGCTTTCATATTGTCTTCATTGTCTCGTCCGCCCACCGCAGCAAATACAAGCTGACGGCTACCTTGTTCGGCCGTCCACACCAAGAGACATTCATGGAAAGCGACCGCTATTCTGGCAGATGAAAAGGTCGGTTTCTTGTACCAGTCACGCCGTAATTGTGAATAACAGTATCCTGGGTTCACGGCCACAGCGCTGAGTGGTGTGATAGACTGCAACCTGTCCGTCAAGGCGCGAACGAAGAGAATATTCAACACTGAGTATGGGTCGGATTAAAACAGGAAACAAAGATAGGAGGCACGTACGCTTTGATTCATTATGCCGGGATCGCATGTGTCTGAGAGATATTGAGCATAAGGAATTCCTATGAAGATGAAGCTTTGTTTGTTTGCTTACTCAGGTATACACCACTCTTCGTTGCTCAGCGTTTCAAGTGGTGTCGTGGAAGCCTTGACCTCTTTCGCGGGTGTGACCCAGTAGTGGAGATCACTGGACACAATTACTAACCGCGAAGGTGTTGAAGACTTTCTCCCCGCAGCAACTAATTGCGGAATGAGGAGCAAAGAAAGAAGTGACGTTGCAAGATAATTGACTTGTAGTCTGAAGGGCGGATATGAGCCATAACAATGCGCAGAAAAAGTGAAATAGACCAACAGGGACTCCCAGCCATCAGCCGTGGGCTGGTAAACGAGCTGCAGGATTGCTGCGTTCATGACTAGGATATGCAAATCACCACCCTCCCTCTTGAATTTATCAGCAAATGCGGTCACTGATGCAAAGTTTGCAAGGTCGACTATCCAGAACTCGCATCCCTTGTATCCGTTCAATTTCTAAGTTCAAAAGATAGAAGTCAATCGTCTCACATCAAGTTTATACTAAACGATCATACATACCAGCCAAAGCGGCCTTCCCCTTGGCCTCGTTACGGCAGGCAATTATCAACCGCGCTGGTTGCATACGGGCAAAGTGTTTTGATGCCTCGAATCCAATGCCTACATTGGCACCGACGACAAGAACTGTTTTTCCAGATAGATCAGCGGTCTCCACTGGGGGCACCACCGACCATTGATCAATCACAGCTGCAAGTATTGACTTCTTCATGATGATTGGGAAAGCTTGCAGATTTAAAGAGTCCATTCTTACAACCTTTAATAGTACTACACGCCGTTCGGCATTTGGTCCACGTCATGCATCATGGAGGGGCCAATAGTAGTCACTGCATCAGTGCTCGATGTTTGTAATACTTAGTGGCGACTCGGTTGATGCAGATAAGACCTGTATCCAACGAATAGGATAGCTCCATCAAAAGCATAGGTATGCTCAAGAAGGGACCAACTGCAAGAATGCGTCAGCTAAAATGCATACGTAGTAATTTGGCACTTGCTCTTTGTCCATGACACTGCAATGACACTATACCACTTAGTCATGAGTGTAATGTAAGCCTGTGCTGGAACACTGAATGAGTCAGCTCTCCGCCACACAGGACCAATACAAAATAAGGCTTGAAGCCGGCTCGCTGAGAGACGACTGATATCCAGAAGCGATTTGAAGCAATTGAAATGCGCATGTGTAAAGCGCAGTCCAGACCACGATAGAGTTCTGTATCAGTGTACCAATATCGTATGGACGGAAGAACACGAGCTCCCCTAGTGATCAGTTGGGAGCCATTGGGAGGCAAGAGACGCGGCGTCAGGGAAAGAATAACTGTTAGAACAAAGATAGGCTCCTCCGAGTCGAGATGTTGCGTAGGCTGTGTTTGCTTCATCGACTTTCTCCCCTACCATCTCTGGCGATATTCGGTGGGGAGGGAGCCTAAGAGCTATCCAAGTCCGCTCCACCGAAAAACTGGCAAGACGGCTCAAAGCAGCATCCGAGTCACATTACAGGTGCATTCGCTTGCCATCGCACATTCTGCCCTCCTGGTGTTCTCGTTTAGACTGCCGTTAGGGACATTCTCAGCTTTCATGGGGGTATCGGGACAGTCACAACAAAACGAACCAGCAACAATGGCATCGAATTGTGGCTGGTTCATTTTATTGATACTTAAATGGCATCAAAATACCGCATCCCAGTACTTGAAAATTGCTGCCTGCGTCGGTAGAAACCTCGTCACTTGACTTGAATGTCAAGTTGGTTGTTCTTACCTGAGAGTTGGAAAGCTGGGTGTTGCTCAGTCACAGATGACAACAATGCAACCAAGTCAGCTGCCAGTGTATAAAGTTGTGTTCTTACTAATAGCGCTAGCGAGACTAGCGGGAGAGGCACGCTAGGTTACATCAGTACTAGTGAATTGTGAGTAAAGAGTAAAGAGACGCAGCACACCTCAGTAAGTTTGTAGAACAAATACTGACGTTTATGATATGAGACGACGCCGAAAGACCGTGAGATTAGACAATGGTACCGGCGAATGGACATGCGTGTGGTCAAGATACAAGAAGGTACAAAGACAGATCGCGCTGCATGTAGTGTAGAAAATGGTACCGGGTGATACGGACGGAGAATAAGTTTCTCTCTCTCCGAGCTTGCCCGCTGTCCCACGGTCAAATGGGTTTGCTCAGCACTTGGCTCTTCGTCGCACACAAATTCTTCCCCATCATCTTTGTCGTTAATCTACGTACGAACAAATAGATCGTCCAAAGGTCTTCAAACATTACGAGTCAGTGAGGTGGATGTAGAAGTGTGTGACTTAGGGTATTCCATAGAGCACCACGAGGTGAGTTGGCTACGATAAACATTAATTAAAATCAAGGTGGTTTTCTTTCATACTTGAGAGTCTGGGCGTTAATACTTATAATATAATCGCAGAACTGTCTGTGTAGCCTTTTCGAATTCATTATTGTCTTTGTGTCTGGCACCCATCGCTCATTGTCTTTCCAACCGTGACTATACACCTGTTCTCTCACTACTATGACTTCAGCGTGCTCTTGGCATGGTCTCGTCGGCATCCAATACACTACTCCTCATGCTTTGGAGCCTGGAAAGAGATTTTAGAAGATAACACATTTAATTCATCTCTTTTCGGCACAAGCAGATCTCATTCGAAACGCAACAATAATAATATTGCATGAATTGCTTGTAGCAAATAAAGCTGCATGGGAGTACGTCGACGTATTATGTTGTTGAGAACGGTTACAGCAAACCCTTTGGCGGCATTTTACTCATCGGCTTGGATGACTTTCGCCGAGTAGTGGCACCGTTGTCAACGGGACAGGTGAACTGGCATCCTTGCCTCCGTCAAATCATCTCCTCTGTGGAAACCTATGCGCATGTTCACTCTCACAATGCCTGTAGGAATCATTGGAGACACATCATACACCAATTTTGTCATACATTGGGACTGCTCAGGCGTTCGACAATACCTCGACCTCATCCAGCATATATCCAGCATATATCCAAACATCGCCGATGTTGTGGACTTCCTCTTCCCTCCTCACATTCTCTAGGGTCCCATAGCTTGCAGCGCATGTTCATATACCCGCGAAACATTTCTGTAAGACGAATTCAATGACATTATCTTGGATGCATTACCTGGCAATTATGGGTAAGCATGAATGGAAGATAATTGCCTATCTCGCATCACCTTCTGTTTCAATCCGGCTCATTTAAGCTGGACAGTGAAACACAAACTTGTGGCCTGCTTGTGCAACAACGTCCAATAGATGTAAAGAGCTGACGCTAGAGAAAGCCGTGCTTGACTTGCGGACAGATTCGTTTACACACGGACAGCGATACACCCGCGCTGTCAAGAGCACAATGTCGAGAGACATTCAAACGTTATTTGCAAGAGAAGGAAAGGGAAAATAAAAATGTAAACGTAATATACAGACATCTATTGTAATTAACATTAGGTCCTACGGAGCGCTTGTAGTTGTCCAATAGTAAAGGCCCGAATCTATAAAAGTAGGTCTCAGAGAACAAAAAAATAAAGGAAACAAATGGGGCCTGAAACCCACCATCTACGTTAGTATTCACCATCCCTCCAGATAGAACCGCTTGCCCTTAGACAAGGCGTTTCTTGCGAGATTCCCACATCTGCGATGGTTGTGAGGGCCTGTGAGGGCTGGTTCCGCCAATGTCGCCGCGGCGCATAGTGGCCTAGTTCGGATAGTAGAAGGTTGATGATTGGGAAATAACATGTGAGGTATTGCCGAATGTCGCAACGTCTGTTTCGATCATTGAGATTGGAAAGTGGTTCAAGGGTATTGTCTAATTGTTTAATGATACGTCGCAACGATGGATATTGTTCATGGTCCATCAAGGAAGCATAATTTGCTGCAGAGTGCTCTGTAGCACCCTGTAACACTCTGTAGCGCTGATGTCTTGTTGATGAGAGTTGAGCCTCATGCGACGGAGTGGGGACATACAACCGATCGATAACGCAAAAGCACCAGTACTGCCTTCGATCGATATCATGATGCATCCGACACAAAGTTTCCAAGCACGAGAGTATTGTCATTCTTTCACAACCCCTATCAGCAATTTTGAAAGCGACTCTACAAATCTGAGAAATCACCCTACTAGTACATAGAATTCGTACTGAGGGAACTAGGCTTCATCCAGGCATTATAGGCGCGTTAAATGTTACCCAAGTTGCTCATGGGCATTCTAAAGTCCCACTTCAGTCACCGACATCCATTCGACCAATCAGATCATGTGCTTACTTCGTTGTGCCGTGATGAACCTCAGAAGATATTCAATGGTTGGTCGAGCATTAAAGGGACTCCAGCAGCGTTCGATCATGCTCCAATGTTCTTCCGCGATCTTCGGCTCCTCCGGGCGTCTGGGTTTTTTGCCACCCACTACCATCACAACAATCTGCGTCTGCTGTTTGATGTAATAGTAAGGGACCTTTCCAGAGAGCACCTGAAACAAAGAAATACGTCAGTGAGCAGCTATGCAAAGGACTGTTCACACCTGTAACATGACGCTGCCAAATGAGTAGATATCAGCTTCTTTACTAGGGAGATTGAATGAGTCGTCTTGGTTCTCCGGTAAATCAAACAACTCTGGGGCCCCCCATCGGATATTTCCAGAGATGGTAGAAGAGAAAGTTGATGAACCAACGAATTCGGATATGACACCGGAAAGCCCAAAATCTGAAAGACAAGCGGTGCCATTCTCCATTATTAGAACATTGGACTGGAACATTGTCAGCGTATCATATTGGAAGAGCTGCACTCGACGAACCCCAGTGAGGTCCCCATGTACAATTTGGTTTGCATGAACTAAGGGAATATTCAATGTGGTTAGCACTGCCAAATATCAACATGCCGGACAATACGGACGATAACGTAGACCACTTGCGATATCGGATAACTAGCAGCAGAATCGTCTCAATCAGCTTTGGATAAATCGAACATGAACTCACAAGTTTGAATCGATCAGATATCACAAGGTCTTGATGGGACTCAAGATAGGTAGTCAAAGATCCGTTCTTTGCCCATGGACACACCATGGCAGCAAACGGACCGAATCCAAGTGCAACGCCATACAACGGAAGGATGTTGTCGTGGACAAGTTTTCGCCATATGATTAATTCCCGACGCAACCTCTGACGAAATCAACGTCATAGATTGGGTTTCTTAGACGTAAGACAAAAATACTTACCTTATCCTTCTTGATTCTATCATTCTCATCAAAGAAGTAGGATCTAATGGCTTTAACTGCCACGTTCTGTGGAGATTTCTTCAGTGAGGCTCCACTATCTGTTGCAAGTCACATCGGCGAACCTCTTCAGTGAACCATGTAGGTAATAGTAAGTTGCATTTCCAAATATCCCCGAAGCCTCCGTGAGCAATTGGATAGTTTGATTGCTTACGAAGATACTGGGTAAGGTTATCGAATGGTCTGATGGCAACAGAATAAGTGGGTCTCCGACAGACGCTCAAAATCGACATTCGTACCTTAGCTCCTCACCTCTGACTTGATCGACTGCAGTAGGCGACATTGACACCGTTTTGATATTGAGTGCGACTAATTGATCAATATAGCCTTGAAGGAAGAGACTAGTCAACAACACACGTATGAGTAAACTCGAGGATGACTGAGCACTTGAGCGCCGACGTGTTCACCGTGGACATTTCTTAGTTGCATCTATATCGGATAATCCATATCCGAGGGCCCAATGATACTCATGATTCTGATACCACCTGATGTGACCAGGAAGCACTAAACACACCATAACTCCATTTGTCATTCAACTATAACTTGCCTAGTGGGGGAGCAGCGCCCCAACTTCTGTTTACATACCTGGCGAGATAACGTTCAAGGAGGTGAAGATCTCGATTCTCGACTTTACATTTCCGTTCGCCCAAATCCTGAGTATTCGTCCGGCGAGGAAAAGGACGCACCGTTATGAACAGGCGGCGCCTCGCTGCCGCTTTCTTAAATCTGGATTCAAAAAGATGAGAGGCATTTAAATACATATCAACTCTAGACTTGGCATCATCCAATTAGAGTTGCTCACCAAAAAAAAAACAGACACGTGCACTCACGTGGGAAGCCTGATTTCTTGTTTTTCAGTGATCTTCTGTCTCAATATAAGTCCGTTGAATTGCGTATTTGAAGTTTCGAACGTGAGTGTACGTATAGTACTTACCGGTGAGGTGAGGAAATACACCATCACGGTAGTATTCTGTAGGTCCAGGATCGTTATCATATGTGTTAGCAACACTGCGGGTAGAATCTAGACCCACTTGTGCAGAACACTCTTCGGCGTCAGCTTTGAGACTCATCACGGTTGCAGACAAGTTGTGCTGGCACTGGTATGTACGTCATCTAAGTTGCCATACAAGGGTCACTTATTGCCGTAAACGCTTTCACAACACCAACCACGACCGTCGCCAGTACGAAGAAATATGCCGCGTAAAGATGCTGGCGGTGGACCTATTTCTGCTCAGGCTCAGCAAGATCTAGTCTCAGAGGGTATCGAAAACTTCGAGCTTCCTAAGAGTCTTGTCACGAAGATAGCAAAGTCAGCAGTAAGGCTTGTATTATATGTAGCACAATACTTCATGTTGATCATTTCTTCAGATGCCAGACAATGCAAAACTACAAAAAGAGACAGTATTGTCTTTGGTGAAGGGTTCGACGGTATTCATCAACTACCTTGGTACGCGAATACATCTTATGTTCACGTTTTACGGAATTGCTGATCTCTGCATTAGTGGCGACGTGTGTGCTACTGCTGGTTTTACACAATGTCTTCTGATATATCTCCTCAGAGCTCATGACGTGGCTATGTCCAAACAGCACAAAAGTATCTCCGCGTCCGATGTGCTTAAAGCTCTAGAGATGATTGAGTTTGGAGATCTTGTCGAGAATCTACAGAATGAACTCCAAAGTAAGACTCCACCCTCTTGTTCCCGACTTTCGCTGAGGAAGCGCAGTTTATAGAGATAACACGAAAGGAGACAAGAGTCGTAAATCCGGAACAGCAAGTTCCTCGCACAAGGGCAAGGCCAGAGAAAGTGAATCAGCGCCAGTTGTCTCAAAATCAAAGGGGAAGGACAAGGCGACGAATCTGCCACCGCCATTCACGTTCACCCCGCGGGCAGCAGTAGCATCTTCCGCGTCCCAATCAGACATGTACAACGCTCGGCCCGAACAGGAAGTTGACGACGAGATGGGTGAGCCAGGCGAAGGGGAAGACGAAGAAGATGAGGAGGACGAGGAAGATGTGGAGGATGAAGGGGAGGATGACGCACCGGTTGATATGATGGCTATCGAAGATGCGGACCAAATCGATGCTGCAGATTTGGCAGAACTTGAAGCTCTGCTAACAGCAGAGGACTGATCTTAATGTGAGTCCTGCAATGAAAATTTTTATGTACCATCACTACATCAGACATCGTGGACAGCCTTTGGCCCTCCTTTGTCATCGAATAGGCAATCTGAAGTTGGTGTATACGATATCATCAAAATTGATCCTGCCTTCCGTAGCTTGAGCCAGTCTGAACGAGCACAGTGCAAGTACTTCTCACCATGTAAGTCGCTGATTAGATGGTGTGATGCCAAGCTATTCATACTGGTAGGGAAAGTCGTCGAAATCACTGAGGCATCAAAGTGTGTCGCGGATGAAGACATGGGTCTGGTCGTATGAGATGTCCTTGAAGGCAATCTGCTTCAACGTGCTTCGACTTGCAATTTTCAAGTATTTTAATCCCTCTTCATACTTTTCTTCGTAACTGACAAAGACAAAAACACTTGTATTCCAAATCATAGACGCGAACGTAGTAAAAATGCCTGTATGCATTGAGCGACGACTTCTGTTTGGTGCTTCCGGGCTGGCTATTCGCACCAGAAACAAACACCTATTCGAACATCCAGGTTCTCCATTCCGAATCGTTGTGGTGTTGTGTCCAGCACGGACTGGACTTACTTACTCATGCTTCCGAGTCTGATTTGAGTGCCATCCAACGCGAGAGAGGCGGGACAAACCAAGATTCTCCTTGTTGATCAGTTCCTTCTTTATGGTAGCAGAATCCAGGAGTAGTGGAGAGGCTTAGGACCACCTCGCGTCTGGACTGCAATTTTCGGTGTGGTGAGTTTGACTGAAACCTCGTCAAACGTCTTTTCATTGCCGACGGTAGTATGACACGCTGATAAGAACGCGAACTCAGTGTGAGAATGTCGTTCTCCATAATAGCAAACAGCATTAGAGGGTCGTCTTTCATGACAAGACGTGAGTTATAGGGCTGCTCGCGATCTTGCTTTCCATGACAGGTAAGGTACACCTGCTCGTGTGTCTGCGTTGCCAGAATAGTGGTACAGTTGACCATTGCAGGGATAAGTTGTCTGACAAGCTCGAGCTCGTTGTCGACAGCCAAGAGCTCCGTGCTTTCCCCTGGCCTTTCCCTGGACGTTGACCCTATCCGATCGCCACCAAAGACAGGGGAACACGCTTATACATCGTCTGTCCAGATCTGATCAGAGCCGAAAGTGTCGGCGTGTAAAAACAAATATAGAGATCCTCGAGGCATGGCTCCTTCCCAGGGCAATCTGCTTTCGTTTCGAAAAGGGTGGGATGCATAGAGGAATGGGAATGGACGCGAGAGCTGTAGTTGGACACTACCAGATTCAAGAGTGGGATTTTAATTTCAGGTCATGCTGAAGGACGTTGACGAGGGGTAGCATGATCATCCCATACGGTCCTCAAGAGGACAATGAATGATTCCGCGGGACCGTTGGACCCATGATAGATGCGTGTCGTAATGCCCTGGCGAAGCGATCCTTGAGATTCTTTGAATCTGTACTTGAAGGGATTCGAGGGAACATGATCAGGATCGGTGACCACCTACAAAACAAAAGTCGGACTTTCTTTCCTCTTGCAAAAACACCAAGTTGTGAGTAGGTTTTCGGGGTCTTATCATTAAGTGAATGCTGTTATGCATATATAGGGTTTGAAGCTTTTCGAGTAAGATCCGAATGATAGCTTCCATAAATCACATAATTTTTCAAGAATGATATACATCAATGGGTTTCATAACAGTCGTAACTGTTCGGCTCGTTCAAGTCGGAGCACGAGGAAAAGCGTAATCAACACGTCTTGAGACCTGTCTCCATGTCCTCATCACCCTGCTTGTCTGCGCACGGTACTAGGTCGTTCCGGGCCGGCTTCCGCAATTGCTTGCACGCAGCCGGAATGAATCCTGTGATCTGTCGACCTATCATTCTCCAACTCGAGACCTCGGGTGGGTCCACAACTTTCTCCTCCTTATCTCGTGGTCCAGCTGTATACAAAGACCCAAACACTGATAACAAAAGCAAGGATATCGCAACTGCAACAGGCGTGCGAGTCTGGACATCTGTACTATTGAAAGTGATCTCGAAAACTGCAATCGAAAACAAAATTAGGCTAGCGAGTGGGATGAATACCAGGTATTGATGAATCAAAGAAAAACACTCTCACCTCCACATCAGCAAGATATACGGCAGGCTGCAGATAACAGCAAGCCTCTCAAGACCATACCGTTCGCGGAGGATCCGCTTCAAGACTATGATCTATGATCATTATGAGCAGTTTCAAGAATAAATCATGTCAGCCTCTTACCGCTCTCAGAGGAGTATCAGCACTCTTTGCGCGATATTGTTTGAAGATAATGAGCCCGATGATGATGCTGCCAATGCTGCAGACGATGGAGCAATATATGACAATCTGTGCCCCTGACCGCGAACCATCCGCACCCCTCGAGTCCACACTTCCAATTGTCAAAAATCCGATGCTCGTGCTAAGCAGGACAGTTGCCTGATATATAATTGAGCTGCGTAAACGATGGGGACTCCGTAAATCGTACCAGCAGATTGGAATCGCGGATGCTGATATCCACCTTGCTCACAAACTTCCTCCACCGTGCAAGTGAGAAATTGTCTCGAAAGCTGTGTAACTCCTCTGCGTAGACTTCCGCAGACTTCAGCATTAATGGAGACAAAAGCGCCATCAGCATAGAGCGTTGGTAAGGTTCCGAATTTGACTCAGAGTACTCGATGTCGAAATAGTCGTCGTTTTGACCATATGAACTTCGTAAGATGCCGATGTCTGACGCATCAGCAAGGACTCAGCAGAACGATCGATAGCAACAGATGAGACACGAACGATATAGTATCATGAATTTCGCTGCACCATGTTATGAGTCAACCAAGGGAGTTGATATTGTGTAAATTCATACCTATCGTCCAAGCTGAGCGCCCATCCTTGCTCTTGCCCAGAGCTAAGTTCCAACCAGTTGAGCATCAACAAATGAGTGTAGTTCCAATAGTCGCGTACGTTCGATGTTATTCACAAGTTCTAACATGGTCGAAATACTTTCTGCATCATAGGGCGATGTCGAGAATTTTGAAGTCACGCGATCTGTTTCGAATCGTCATCGACGGTATCTAAGACCAAGCAGCGTAAATACCAACCTGCAGATGCTTGAACTAAGATACTCTTGAGTTCACGGATGACAACCTCTGTGACGTTGAGAGTATTCGGAAACAGCTCGCAATGCTTCCTGTTCGAAGTCGCACTGCTCGATTGTTTGGCAAGTTGTCGATTACTTACCAGTACTGAGTTTCAGCACCTAAAAGACAGGGTGATTCGTACGCATAACCACCGAGCATGAACTTGAGCTTACTTACATCTAGAAGATGATTCCACAGGTCCATCGCATTCTTCTGATAAACAAGCAAGGTTGAAATCTTCCAGCCAAAAGACTCGCTTGTGAGTATGAGAAGCAAAATAATACCCGAAGGTGGGTCTTTGGTCTGCGCTGACGGTAGATGGGATCAAGTCCAGAACAATAGTCATCTCGGAATCGGCATCAGAAGGAGCCCTCTCCTTCAAATCGCGAAGTAACTGGGTGATGACGCTACGTAGGGCGCCCGTTTCATGGTTGGTATTGCTGCAAACTCTCTGTTTTTTTTTTGGTTAGCATGCAAATTGACGCACGTTGCACTCACCATCTCCTCGTGAAAGTAGTAAGAGCCAAAATCCGGATGTCGTATCCTGGTCCAGCCGGTGGTGAGTCCAGACAGTCTACACAATGCACATGGAGCATGCTAGATTAGAATAAAGGATTTGTGTTGACCCATGACCTTACTGATCATCCTGAACACTGACAGCGACCTGGGAGTGCTCTCTGAAGATGAGAGTGAATTTGCTAGACTGGCATAGAGAGTATGAATATTATGGGTGGGTGCCAATGAATACTGCATCAATGGGTCACTAAGCGCTGGACTTCTTTTCCGTCGTATGGTGGATGGTGCCAACGGTCGCAACGAGTAATCAGATGCAGAAGTCATTGACGCTGGTATGTACCGGCCAGTAATATGATACGGAGTGCCAATGCTTAGACCTCTATAAGCGAGACTAGTGACTAGGTTTTCGATATGCAGTTTCAAATTGGTTGAAGCATACTAGATATGGAATGTTCTAGACCTTCTCCCGAATCGGCTCCGGGATCGCAGTTCAACGGCTTCAACACGGGCAAGCTAACTTGAAGGTTTGACGTTTAACTTCGACTTGAACTTCCATGCGTCACGGTTGTACTACTACTCGCCCGGGCCTCGCAGCGACAATTACTTGAGCATGGTGACAGTGAGTAAATATTATAGAATTATCTTGTAACTTCAAGTTCGATGATTGCTCAGGCTATACGACCGGCGTACGCGTGAAAGAGATCATAGTCACAGGATATCCACATTGCTCGAGGAGTGCGCAAATTATCCAAACTGTACTGAACTAGGTATTGCACCATCAATTATGATCCCAACTTTGAAAGCAGAAACATCACTTACTGTCGCGAAGTGACGTTTGACCGTCAACCTATGTATCAACAACACACACCCGTAGCACTTTGACCGTGAAACATCTAATGTGCGCAGGTGAGACATTTGGTTGCAAATCGACCTACTCATACTCACAGTCGGTATACATGACCAGGCATTGCAGCAATCTGCATCTACTTTGCAATATAATCTGCTACATGCACTGGCACTGATAGACATATACGCTGATAAAGCTGCAATGGCGACGAAGGAGAAACGCATTTTCTGTGCGAGCTGATGTGGAATCGTTCAAGGGGGATCTCAAGTGATATATAAGAGGGTGAAGGAACGCTGTAGGAAGATGACCAGCTTTCATATCCTACATATACCTATGTGCGCGATTCTCAATTCGACAGAGTTCTGCCGCATGTGCCATGAATTACTGATTTGAACCGTCTTTGCAGCGTTCCTGCTAGACCATTTCATTCTGTGACCTGGCATCTGCTGGCTCGTTTCTACCGGTCGTGCCTATTTGCGCGTTGCTGGCCACGGCTGACTCATTTCAGGGGTGATTAACCAAACGTCCGATCGGAAGGAACCTGGAATTGTACGGTCGACGCAAAACCACCTTTAACCTGAGCAGTTTCAAGTTGGATGCGTACTAGATACGGAATGCTCTAAACGATCCTTCTTTCAATTCAGCTCCGGAATCACAATTAACATTAGCTTCAACACGGGCGAGCCAACTTGAAAATTTAACGTTTAACTTCGACTTGAACTTCCATGCGTCACGGTTGTATTACTCGCCACGCAGCAACAATTACTCGAGCACGAGAGCCAGAGGTGGCAGTGAGTAAATATTACTTATAGCGTTCACGTGAAATTGATAGTTACAGGATATCCGCATTGCTCGAGCAGTGCGAAATCTATCCAAACTGTACTAATTGGCCCTGAACTAGGTATTGCACCATCAATTATGAGACCAACTTCGAAAGCAGAAACACCACTCACTGTCGCGATGTTACATGTGACGCTCGGGCTGCTGGCTCGATTGTCAACCTATATGCACACCATAGCATCAATAATCTAATGTGTACAGGTGAGTCATTTGGTTGCAAAGGGACCTGCTCATACTCACGGTCCATCGACATACCAAGTTATCGCAGCAATCTTTATCTACTCTGCAATATGATGTGCTACATGCACTGGCACTGACAGACATAGACGCTGATAAGGCTACAATGGCGACGAAGGAGAAACGCATTTTCTTTGAGAGCTGATGTGGAATCGTCCAAGGGAGATCTCAAGTGATATATACGAGGATGAGGGAACACTGTAGGACGATGACCAAGCTTTTATATCCTACAAATACTTATGGATAATGGGCACGATTCTCAATTTGACAGAATTGTGAGCTCTGTCGCATGAATTACTGATTTGAACCGCTCTATGTGCGTGCTGCTAGATCATTTCATTCTGTGACCTGGCATCCGTTGGCTCGTTTCTACCGGTCGTGCCTATTTGCGCGTTGCTGGCCGCGGCTGATTCGTTCCAGGGGTGGTTAGCCAAACGTCCAATCGGAAGGAACAGGGAATTGTACAGTCGACGCAAAACCAGCTTTGAGCTCACTTGCCCACCATGACATACACGAGAGTCAGACCACTGCAATGGCGGTAGTGAGGTAGTGAGTAACTACTCATAGCTTCCACGTGAAATTGATATAATTATCTTGCAACTTCGATAAATAATGATTGCTATACACTCGTAAAAGAGATAGTCGCAGAATATGCGCCAGCGTTGTCAGAAAAACCGGAGCAGTATTTACCTCCCTTCCTGATTTTCACAGTTGCTCTACCCATACTCAGCTCCTGAGTAAACCAGTCCAAACTTTCCTACCGAATCTTATCTCTGTCTCCGCTCGTGAACGACGTGTGGACGCTGTCAGGCGTCTCACCATCCGTAGCCGTGACAATGCACGACCAGACGTGATAATTATGCATGCCGAGCGGCACTGCAAAACTCTCGCCGGTTATTTGATGGCGATAGAGCAGCGTGCTAAATATTCCACTGCGAGTCAAGCCCAGGATGAGCCTATCCTCTTCCTGCTGCCACTGCCCATCCCCCGCATAGCCAACCAAAGAAAATCCATTTTCTACGACCCCGTCGGTTTTAATGAAGAAACGATATGATTTAGGGATAGGGTCACGCTTGGAATCGATTATCATGAATAGCGATGTATCATCTTCTTGGACGTAAAGATCTTGAAAGGTGAATTCGGATGGAGCCTCTACGTCGTAAAGAAAGTTGGGCCAAAACCTGAGAAATTGTTCAGTTTGGTCTTTAACTGGATGGAGCAATAAACCGATTGGACGGGAGTGTGGTGCGCCTTGACGACAGCATCTTAAAGCCGCCTGATAAAAGGTGTCCGTACCGTGACGCACTGGCATGACAGGTAGGTGAATATTCAATCCGCGATTCGTCACCGAATACTGATGTCTGATGGATGGGGTAGAGCTTGAAAAGATACTTCTGAATGAATCTGAGGGAATTTTGACGATGTTGCGGGACTCTGCAAAATCATCCGGGGATGAAGCAAGTAGGCCACTTGTGTTCCTTCGATCTGATTTCCAAGCGAAAATGCTTTGATCGTTGGAGCTCTTCATGATTTCGATCTGAAGTCTGACGAACGCGTTTTCCCCCTCTCCATATATCGTAGGCATGTATACCCCAAATAAACCAAGCAGCGAATACGCCCGATCCTCTACCCTCGTCGTCTGCCTTCGCGAAGCCCAGAACATCCTCGTTGCTACACTGATCTCTCCTGGGTAGTTGGTAAGTAGGACACCGCGGACAATCCCCGTGATATTTTCGATCGAGGGAGCGAAGCTGGATTTGCTTCCTATCTCCTCCCAATCACGCGAGAAAAATATGACATTGTTGGGGGCAATAAGTTCCTGGAGGTCCACCCTCTTTTAATCCATTGGTTATTAGAAAACTCTGCCATTAAATCATCAGATCTGGGCCTTCTTGTACCACATGAACATCGAGTTGATCGCTTCGGAAAGTTCAGAGCTGCTGCTCTTATTGATGCAGCAAGTGTCTATCCAGACATAGCGATACCCGTCTTCGTGAGCCTGGACACGACAACCTTCAATCTTGGAATAGCCTGGCATACTACGGGCGTGAGGCTGGCCGATATCAGAGAACTGTACCTCACCATCACGCCATCGATGCGAGAGTATCGCATATTCTGGGATCTGACCGGTTCAATAACCGCATGTTGTCTCATCGATAATGTTAGATGGATAAAAAAAAATCAAGCAATGGAAGGGGGTACTTACTTTTCTGCAACGTCAAATCAATGATTAGAAATCAGGTCAGGGTCATGCGAGATATCAACCTGCTGAGTTGCTGACTGAACGTCAATCATCAACGCGCACTGGGGAAAAACTCGCTCACCCACCCAAATCAGAGTGATACAGGAACTAGCTAAGGGTTTCGCTGCGTTGGAGCTGACTCTTATCAATGATGCTGAGTGGAGCTGAGGGCAGGCATCGACCATGTACATAGTACCCAATTGTCCTGAATTGGCAAGTCAACTCCATCTACCGACCAATATGGATCAGAAGCATACCAGATCATGCAGGGTCTCCGAAATGCGCAACTGGCAATCTTCAAAGCTGAAACACTCAGGCCTCGGGATCCAGACACGATCACTAAAATTAAACCAGATATGCAGCTCAATGATATGTGATCGGAATCCACTTTATAGCTTCCAATAATTTTCTGAGCCTCAAATGTCAACGCAACACTAGTCAAGCAAGGACTCTTACAGGAGGAGAGAGGTCATTGATGAGAGCATGTTCGCTTCAGTAAATGAGATAAACAGATCGTGAATCCGGTTGTTGTCACAAGTATCTGTGTATTCCATTCCATCAGAAAAATGCTAAATTGTCATAGTTAATACGTACTGTGGGGCTTACAGCATCTTACAGCAGTGCTAGTGTCATGAATGAGCGCTCGCCAGCGACAACTTGAAATTAGTCTTGAATTGCTCGAGCCCAACATCACCTCCTCCTGATCAATGGGACCTGGGTCGTTGTAGGACGTGAATGATGTCAGGCTAGTAGCTGTAGCAATATGTATGACCAGACGTGTCAATTCCTGTCAATCCCGTACGGATACCGAGCGACACCGCAAAACCCTCCGGTGTGCCACCACTCCCAGGCCGTTGGTTTTGGAGAGAAAATATATGCAAGGTATAAAAAAGGTAGTGCTTGAGATCTTGTATCGGATCATGACCTGGGATGCTATTCCAGCTGACTGGTCTGGTTTGGTGAAGATTAATGGCAGGAAGCTCTTGCTCAGCGCTCATGATCAGTGACGGTCCGATAATTGTTCCCACATGATGAGATAACATCAAAACTCCGCAATTTATCACGATGTAGTCTGGGTGGAACCCTTACTAAACGGCGACTGCCGCATCAGTGAACGTTTGAAACGGTGAGCAGATCTGATGATATGGAACGATTGAAACTTATCACTGGAACCGCCTCATGGAATTCATGCCTCGCCAGGTGCGTTCATGATACTTGCCAGAATGTTAGTAACGATCGCGCTAATCTGTTGCGCTTGAAAATTATTACAGGTGTTAAATGAACATAGGTATTAGGCTAATACTAGTCCTCATGAGGGTCGTGCTGGAGAATACGCAAATATGATTAGATACCCGTCCAGGTAAATCAGACCAGGACTCGATCATGATCATGATGCAGTCGATGGGATACGTACTAAGCATCATTTTCACTCTAATTTGCTAGATTCCGACTTGTAACATGGTAACCCGTTCGGATACCAGAGGATTCGTACGTGATGGTCTTTTCGTCCGATTTCTCTAGCGCATTTAGCCGTGACTCGATCTATAATGCATTCAGGTTCAATCATGCCTGTGCACGATGCCTCGACTCTAACAATTGGGCCACTTCCGACGATCCAGGCTTCGATAAGAGATTGCCTTGACCGAGAATGCATTCTGCATCTTTCTGGGATGTTCATTTTTTGCATCGTGTCTTTCTTCAATGAGAACGATATGGCAACTATCGTTGATAGTTTTTACAGTCTACAGTGATAGCTGCAATAGTGCTCCATGAACTTCTCTGCTGAGACCTTGGTAAGCCTTTCGTCGTACATCAGATTGAATTTGACGGTCATTGTTTATAGGACAGTTTATGACACCACCTTCAAATTCTACAGATTAGGGTCATGTACTCTAGTCGCAAGCGCGTTAATGCGATATTTCCCAAGGAAGGTTACACTTGACCTCTCCTGTCACATCGACATGCAGAACAGCGGCACCGTCATCTTCAATGGTACTAATGAACGGCGTCTCTGAGACTTCGTGACTGAGTTGCAGCATCTGCCAGAGGGTCTTCACGGTTCAGTATTGGTTATTCTAGACCCACCAACAGACGTCGCTTAAACTGCTCCACGATTCGCTTCGTCCTCGATACCAAGGTGCGTTTCATTACGTCTTCATGCCCATTACCCATACATCAACATAGGCACATCCCCCTATTTGTAGGCGATTACTGCTCAGAAGGCAATGCCGAACACTCGGGGCCGTGGCAGTATCCTGTTCGCGAGAGCGTGGCTTGGGTATGGATTTCATGAGGACGGGGTTTACGTCCGGATTACGCGCCATTGTGGAGCATATTAACGGAGTTCAGCTTCGAGATAGGTGGCGTTGATCGTAACCCTCGAGTTGTCTTTGTTGCTCCGTCTTTGGGTTCTTGGAAGTCACCGGTATAATACGTGGCGTAGCTACTCCTCATCAAGTTTATCGTGTAGTCATGTCAGAAACTCCTTCATATACAATGGTAATTTAGAGATGATATCTATACATCATGTTCAAATCATTAATTAATGCTACATTGACGTCAAGTTATGAGAGTGCATGTGGTGTGATGCGAAAGTGATATCCAAGTGATTTCGTCGCCATACTAGACAATTAAAAAACGCACCAAAAGAAATATATACAATATGTTAATCTTCAGACGGGCGCCTCATCTGAGTGGGGCCAAATGTGACCTTCCCTCTCAACTCCGAGTCATCAGTGGTAGATGGTTCGCTACAACTGCCCTGGGGCGTCTGATCAAGTGTCATCCTAGGAGTAGTGGTACCACTTCGGGGTTCTTCATCGACGAACCGGACCGACCGAGTAGGTGAGACATCACGCGAATTATGTTCGCTGGTCTTTAGAGACTCCAACCGTCGGTGCTGGATGGAGCGACGGTAAGTGTGCCCTGATCCCTGGCGGTGAGGTGCATGGCTTCTCCCACGTTGGTCCTCATCCTCAAATGATGCGATCTCACCCGGCTCAGTCGTGAAGGCAAACGGTGGGTCCTGCTCCAGAAGCTGCCTAGCGTGGCTCGAGAACGTGCCGGCATCCCCCGTTGATTGTCTTCGTCGTTGATTCCTGACACTTCTAGCAGCAGCAAGATGAGTTCCGCTCTTCGTTTTCCATGATCTTGAACGCTTCCTGTGATCGCCAGGCAGCTCCCCAGACAAGCACGTAGGTCCATCGCCATCTCCACTTTTGTCTGAGGCCCATCCTTCTTCGTCTTCGTCACCTTCAGCAGGTGCGCCCGTGTTTTCATCACTTGAGCCACCCGCTTTAAATACTTCTGGGGCTTTTGATTCTAATGCATGTATATCATGCTTAACATTTTCTTGGGCATGTTCACTGGCAGGTCCCGAATGTATATCTTCGGGCGCATGATGTAACTTGCGAAGATACGCGCGACCTGCTTGTAAGGCGCCACTTTCTCCTACAGAGAACCGGGAGTGCACGACTCGTTCAGAAGGCTTGAATGCGTTATAAATGACTTCCACGTCAACCTGTAAATGACGTTAATGTAACAATCAGTATTGTCAATCAATCCACGCGCACCTCTTCGCCAGGACCACCTCGTCGCTCTATAATTTTATGCGGACCTTCCTTCCACTCCGCAGTCGTTTCCTTTCCATCAGGAGGTATCTCCTCCTTCATCTCTTCCTCATCCTTTCCAGGATCAGCTTCCGCGCGCGTCTCCGCACTGCTGGTCTCGCCTATTTCTTCTATCTCATCGGGCGACAGCGGCGACGCAGTGACCGTGCTCGCACGCTTGCTCTCCAACCCAGACTTTTCCTCTTCCGTCAGTCCGCCCTCACCGCGCTCAAGTCCAGCAGGGTCACGGTTAATGATAACATCTTCCGCACGCGTAATGTGCCGCGTATGCGTTGCCCAGTCGGGTACATTTGATGTGGCATGGCGGGACCACGTTCGAGACCCAACTGAATGCACGCGGCGGCCTAGGAGTGAGAATGGGATGGACAGACCATGAATAGCGACGCTGCAGAGTACCATGAATGCAACGATGGGTTGAATGGCAAGTGCCAGAACTTCAGTCTGGTTGGCCGGAGGATTGCTAGGTTTGGGTAGCTGCTGGGCTGCTAACGTAGAAATATATATGGCACCTGAATAGTAACGCATGTCACATCAGTATGATTGAGGGATGTGAGATCACTACACACCAATGCCTATGGGACCGAAATGGCCGCTGAAGACGGCTTCCCGGAAGGTCTTTACGTCAGGTATGAACTTGTAGAGCCCAATCATAACTGGCAACCTTTTTAATATCAACACCAAAATGGCAATAACGATGAGCCTCCACACGCTGAGTGAAACGGTCTCGTTGCTGAAACTATCAAACGGCATCCAGGCGCCGACATAAACAAAAGCAGCGACATTGAATAATAAGTCGATGACGGAACTGAACACTGATTCCTCTGTTTGGCGGTTGAAGAAACCGTCCCAAGCAAATGCTGTTCCGCAAGAGAACGCTGCCAGAAGATCATCGGAACCCAGGATAGTCATGATACCGATGGTGAGCAAAGCCAAGGATATGTACTGTGCAACGTAGGACTGCCGATCGACGAAGTCATTACGCTGGCAGAATTTCATAAGGTGTCGGAAGCCCCATCCTATCAAGGCGCCCACCGCCACACCTAAAATGACTTGATCTGTTATGACGAAATCAGTCGAGGAACTGTCACTGAATCTTTGATCTTACAGAGCCAGAGAAGAAGGAACCAATCTTCAACTGCACGACCAGTATTTGAGTCCAATATGAGATACAATGCGATGTACAGGAAGGGATACGCTGCTCCATCGTTGCAACCGCTTTCCGCTGCAAGGAGATGACGAAGATGAGCAGGGACGTGCTTGTCGGCATATTTGCCGCCAACGACTGCAGCAGCAAGGATCGGGTCCGTTGGGGTCAAGCATGCAGCGACAGCAAGGCTTGACAAGAACGTGAGGTCAGGTATCAATGCATAAATCAAGCCTGCCGACACAAACCAACCCTGGTGATGGTTAGAGAACGGATCAAAGACATGCTCATTATGTCACCCACCCATGTCATCACGGGAAATAGGAGATATAATAAACTTTTCCAGTGACGCTTCATATAAGCTTTTGGCAGCTCGACTCCGATTGCGAAGACTCCGATTGCGAGGACAACGCGAGTGAACTCAAGTGTGATTTCATTCACGGTATCCTCGGTAGTAGTGTCACCGCCCCAGCTGCGAGGATCAAATATGCCGGCACCATAAGGACCTAAAAATAAGGATGTTAAGGCAACGTGATTAAAAAAACTTTAGAAGCATGATCCGCCGAGCTCACCGATGATGACACCAAAAAGAAAAGCCCAGCATGCCTCGCCAATGTAAAGCTATACACAATGAGTATGAAGGTTGATATTTTCATGAATTATATTACCTTTTCTCGAATGAACAAAGAGAACATGCCAAACTGCAATGAATATCACAATGAGATACTGCAAAAGTGGACAGAGCGCGCTGTACTGACCACAACGACAAAACCTCCGAGACATGCGTAGGCAATATGTGGTATGGTTAATGCGAGCTGTGAAGATCAATGAGCGCTGCAGTCGGGTGCGGGAACAGTGACTTACCGGCCGGAATAGCATGACGTGCGGTGCCGAAGAATAGTGCTCAACCGGGAAGCTGGATAATAACGCGTGCAACTGGGTACTGACTGTGCCCACTGGGGGTTCGTAAAAGGTGGTGTGTTGGTCACAAGCCGTTGGCTGAGTTAAGATACAGGAAGATAGAGGAATGTGGAACGCGGCAAGTCGGGGTGGTACTAATACACCGAATCTTTAATCCGGTTATGTCAGCCTCGCCAAGTAAGAGTTGAAAGCCAAGACGCGGCCTGTCACCTGCCATGAAAACCATTCCACCTTTTATAGTAGCAACGCTCGGTGCGGGACATGATGTTGGCAGGTGTCGCATGTCGCATGTTCAATGCTGATGTCCCTGTTTAATTTTCGGCTCAGCAACGCTCAGGTCACCACCCCTCGACCCTTTACATCCGTTCATCAAGATAGATTATCCCGCCAATCGGATCCTGGGTAGTACAGATCAGCCATGCTACATTTAACTCGCAATCATGGGAGCCATGTGGGAACACCAGCTTCCTACACTCACGGGACTGCTGCCAAGTTCACTATCATGATGTGGGTCAATTTTTTCTCTCATAAACTTAACTTGAAAATCTAGGAATGGGAACTCATCTCCACTCCACCTACGTATATTTTGGGTAACATCGTTGCACGCTCGACAGCCGTGACCTCACCGTTTGACGTTCCAGAGTCCCCTGTCAACGGCTATCACTCGTTCGGATTTTCCAGACCTATTACTCAGACCACGCATAGTTCGTGCCTCCAAAGGGCCACTTGCTCCTCCAGATGGGCTTTGAACTCTCCTTACAATAATTGGCAGGTGGCGCTTTAGACATTAAGAATTTGCAGCTGACTCTCTATTTCAAGTTTGGCGATCGTATATATTTCGGTCTTTCGGAGGTCCCAGGTCCCTATACGAGCACACCCTCATCGCCAAGTACGCCCAGCAAGCGTCATTCCCTGACTCAGGGACTATCTTACTCACCTGACATTCACTTATCCGCACTAGGCTAAATTCTCCACCTCGTCGTGAGGCTGTTCGAGGATTCGCCTTGGCCCCACTTGGTTCTTTACATAAAACGCTCTGCGATTGCATGTTACTTCGTCCCGATAATTACCGGTGGCGGCAGTCTTAACGTAACTGTCTGTCGAAATGGAGCTGCTTATGAATATGGGGTTCATTGTGAAGACGCCGGACGGCAAGCAGCGGAGAGCTTATCATTGACTTATCAGCCGAATGCTTTTTATCCTATTATGGCGGTTATCACCAGGTGTTCCCGCTCCATACCTACTATCACTATGCAAGTGAGTTTCATTTAGAGTTCCTGCGGCGCGTTCATCTGTTTGCACATCATTGAGAAAGGGGTAAACCCTACTGCGGCATCCTTTCGTGCATTCATATTGCCATTGGGTTTCTGCTTCTTATATTCCATATACACCATAACGAGAACCACTACTCTTTCCAGAATTTTCTGTTACACCGTTCCTCATGCCCTAAGTAAATTTCGCAGGGATGGGAATATGCCATTGGGTGAGGGTCATTGAAATGAGTCCTTGAGGGCTGGACTCTTGACCTGAATCGTCCATGCGCCACTGTCGAGATCAGAGCTCAATAGACAGGAGGTATCCGCAGAGATATGACCAAGTCAACATGCCTTTTCACCATCTTCGTCCGCAGGCCTGGCTTCCTGAAGAGCGGTGCTCCTGTGAGTTACGGCGAGTTAAAAACCTGCAGTTCTGTGGGTGTAAAGTGACAAACACCACTCCACTGGGCGTATGCAATTGCGACGTTGGTTAATAATTCCGTGACAAAGATCATCAAGATGTTCGATTCGATCATAGGTTTTGGGAACAGCTAGCTCCATGACGCCAAAGTTGAGAAAGTTAACAACCCAAAATCAAACGCATACTCGAGCTTAACGAAATGAGATATAGCAGTCTTCCCTTGGAGGACAAAGGCATATCATTTCTTCATATTTCGTTTTGATATACTCTTCTCACTCCGGATCCTGCTCTGTTTACGAGGCGCGACAGTGGCCTTCTTGACAGCACCCGTCTTCCTCGCTCGTTCCCTATCCTTCTCCTTGCCACGCACAGGCACACCTTGCTTCGCAAGCGCTATTCTCGCTTTCTTCTTCGCTATCCTCCGCGCCAGCCGGTCAGTGTCTGCTGCTTTGATCTGCTTCCGCTCCTCTTTGGAGAGGGTCGCTAATTTTTCACCCAGAGAGGGATCGCCTTTTGGTATAGCCATGGGTGGCGCTGCACCTGCACTATTACTGGTGCTTGGAGTCTTTGAAGTGGCAGCTTTGTCAGTCGTAGAGCCCTTGGGGAGTATTTTGCAGCGTTGAACGCGTAATTTACGCTTTGCAAATTTAAGTTTCTGCTCTTCCATCGCAAGAATTTCGTCAACGCAAACGCGATCCTGGAAACGAACTTCAGAACGTCGCCTACAAGTGACGATCAAATACTGACCGTAAATTGCACATATGCGAAGCCCTTCCCAAGTTGAGTCTCCTTATCCCGCACAATTCTCACTCGTGAAACCCAATTCTTGGGTGTATCTAAAGCTTGATTAGGGGGTCCGCGTTCGGCAGTGATAAGACTTTCGAAGAAAACCCGCAGATCTTCCTCTTTGCTCGCAAAGTCAAGGTTACCTACGAAAACCGACGACTTTGGGTCTCCCGCAAAAGTGCCCGAGAGAGCACTTTGCTTTCCAATGCTATCTGCAGGTCTACCCAAAGAATCGACACGAATCGTGCGGTCCATGAAAACTGTCCCGTTGCACTTCTCGACAGCTAGACGAGCTGCCTCGTGTGGGTCCATGACTGGCGCAGGGGGAGGCAAATTTGAAGGCCGCTCTTTCGCAGGAGAGGGATATGCGAAGACGACGTATGCATTAACCGAATCAGCACTAGGGTGAAGTTCATGATTGATAAATGCAACTTTTTTTTTCTGACTTGGAGTAAGAAACTTCTTGTCGTTATTTGGCTCATCCGCTGCGGGATTAGTTTTGCGCCACGACGATGCTCGATCTCGGTCGCGTTGCCGTGTGCCGCTCTGTTCTTTCGCGTCGTCATCGGGAAGTTTACTGGTAGGGTTTTGAAATGCAACGGAGCGGAATCTTGTGGATTCGATTTTTGCGGTAGGAACGAGGGATAGAATGTGCCTATGAAGTTGTTTCTGCAAAGGCTGTCACATATTCAGTATGTGTGGTGCCAGTATTAGCTAATATTCAACGACTCACTCGCTTCTGAGCGACCTCGGACAAGAGGTTGCCCACGAAGATCGTACGCAAGTTGCGCTGCTCCTCGGACTCATCTGACGGAGCGAATTTCTCCTTGCGCGCGGACGCGCGTTGATTGGACTTCGCACCTAGCAGCGACTCGTGTACGAGCGTAGATGGCCCACTTTCCTCCTCGGAGTCAGAATTGTCGGCAGGTTCAGCCCCTCGGTGTTCGGCACTACTGCTCTCCAGGGCTGAAATCGTGTTTAATTTTTCTTCAGCTTCTACATCTCTGTTGTCGACCTTTTCTTTCTTGTTCTTCCGCAGCTTGGCGCGTTTTGGAGGAGGGGAATCGTGTTGTTGCGACTCTTTGGGTGCGGACTTGTGCTTTTTCAAATCACGCCTCTGCTCTACCTCCGATTTACGCTTTTTGTCACTGGATGCTGCGATATTGACATTATCTTGAACCTTACGAGCCGACATAATTCAATGTGGACCAGCGCAAAAAACATGAAAGTCATGACGCACCTGAGTGTGAAAGAGGGCATCTAATTCCGTATCAATAACTTTTTGGTTGCTCGTAGTTTTCCCTCCGAGTAGAAATGATGAGAGACTCATAATTGAGCTCCAAGTGAAGAAATCCAATGTTGAGACGACGAGGGTTGAAGGTCTTGGTAGAGTGGCTGGAGTCCTGCCTGCGACCTCTATTTTTGCCAGAAATAGTAATTTGGGTTTTGCTACAATAGCCTATTCTCCGCCTCTGAGCTCCCCTGAGAATGAAATGAACGTACTAGTGTATCCCAGCGCCCACCCAGCTGCCCCTTCTCTCGTTCAAACGCTTGCTTCAATACTCAAACCGCATTATCTACCACAGCTGCTAACACATTCTCAACTATCCGTACAAGAATATCCATGGCACACCTCTTGTGCCCTCCTCTTACTCCTCTCCCCTCCTACAGATCATACAGCTGTCCTTAAATATATCGAGTCCGGAGGTAGGATATTAGCGTTTGGTGTTGGCGTCAGAAAAGGTACTCTATTTAGTCCGAGTCATGACTTTGGATCGCTATCTGCGGGTCTTGGTCTGGGCATAGTAAAGGACACGACTATACTCAGAGTCGCTGATGGAAGCGCGTCCCTCTACATCTCCTTCTCAACTGCTACCGGAACAAACGCGGATGTACTGATAAACGAGACCGCGGTATCTGTATCCAGATTACCCATGTGTCCTTTGGACCTCGAAGTACGCATCCTCGGTCGTTATGTAGAGGGAAATGTGCCTGCTGGCATCTTATCTCAAAACGGCCTTGTCGCAATGTGGAATTGTGCCCCTCCCCTTCCCGATATCCTGCTGTCACAATCGCTATCTGCACTTGGTCTGCGCCTCGCCTCGCAGAGAGCTGATCCTAGTCTTGAGCCTCACATTCTGCCCCAGTTTCTTCTCGCTCGTCCGGATTCGTGGCAGGTGCAGCATCGTGTCGTAGAGGCACTGCTCGACCATTTAAATCTTGGGTCAGTTGTCAGCGATGAATCACAACCCAAGGGGGAGTCATTTGTGTTCGAAGATGCCAATGACAATTTCCACTTCCACTTCCCATCCTTCCCTTCCGAAGATAGAAACACAGGTCACCCCATACTCGAACTCATTCCACAAAATTTCCTCTCAAACCCGAAAGTCAAACACGTACTTGTACCTTCAAGGCCCCTCACTTCTGAGGATGAACGAATGTACACCCCACAATTCTCACCATCGGCCTTCTTCTGCGCCATAAACGAATTCCGCTCTAGAATCAAATATACCAGCCAAGGTACAAACCAAGATTCCTGGCGCATCGGCGAAGCACTCATATACGGCGAAGCAGTCTCCAGCACACAAACAATGTTTGACAAGTGCGTCTTGCCCAATCACGTCCACCATATCGCCTACTGACACCCTCTGAGCAGAAACCCATCTTTCCTCCGCGCACTTCCCTCTCCCATCGTCTCCCTCGCTACAGTACAATTGGCAGGACGCGGCAGAGGCGGTAATACGTGGCTTTCTCCTGCAGGGTGCTTGCAGATGTCACTCAAGATTCGTATCGGGCTCAAAGGGTCTTCGTCAGGTAATATTATCTAATTGTGTTTAACTATCTGATATCTGAAAACTGATATTACGCAGTACCAGGCCCAACAATCCTCCCCTCCAACCTCGTATTCATTCAATACCTCTATGCATTAGCAATCATCGATGCATGTCACGTCCTAAACCCCACCTCTGAATGGGCCCACAAAGTCCGTCTGAAGTGGCCTAATGACATTTATGGTCTCTTCCCGTCTTCCCAAAACAGCCCTATATCAGATTCAAAGTCAAAACCGGAACCACGGAAAATTGGCGGGGTACTGATAAACACGAGTTTTGGCGGTGGTGTAGCAGATATAGTAATCGGTACTGTACCTCCTCCTTTTTTGGCTCTAGTGACATGAAAGCTCACTTTTGATCCATCAACAAAAACAACAGGAAGCGGCCTCAACGTCCTAAATGCACCGCCCATAGCCTCACTTGCCCAACTCGCATCTACACCTACCCCAGGGCTCTCCGTAGAACGCGTGGCAGCAGCAGTTCTCACCTCCTTTGAGCGCATATGGAATTCGTTTTTGCAGAATGAGGAACAAGGCTTTCACCCGTTCATGGATCAATACCTCCGATCATGGTTACATTCGTATGTCTTTATCTTGCTTTCTGTCAATGCAATGTTTACCGTTCACTGATCATGCTTGTGGTTCGGACAGAGACCAGCTCGTCACACTAACGAACCGGACTCCGCACCAAAGTGTTCGCATCGTTGGTATCACTCCCGATCATGGGTTGTTGCGTACTGTGCCGATGGGTGGTGGAGAGTTTATCGATTTACAACCTGATGGGAATAGCTTTGATATGATGAAGGGATTGATATCGACAAAGAACAGGTAGGAAGGAAGATCAACAACGTACAGAACTGCTTTAAAATCATTGATCACACTGGTATACAAATGACGCCCAACTCGTTTCACACACTTTGTAGTTGAGATCAATCCTGGCAGTTCATATCGTCCTCACACAACATACTTGGATCGACCCTGCTGAGCAGAATTTTTTTTTTCGCCACATGATCGCAGTTGACAAGCGGACTACTGAATCACGTAGTTCTGTTACTGGATCCAGCCCTGACCTTCCTAGCCCAGCGTAGCAGGCGTGGGCAAGAAGAGCCTGTCATGTTGAAGGATAGTAGATACGTTGAGTTTATGCTACAGAGTTGAAGCGTGTGGTGCATAACATGGGAATGTGTCACCCTTAACGACCGTGACAGGCGTGCATTGCACTACAGTGGGCACTCTCTAATCCCTTTCTATCGGCCACCATTCCTGGCTTGGTTATATCCTGTGCGGGATGGTCCTGACCCGACTTGAACTCGACCTGCTTCCTGTGGACCAACGAGCACCGCTTCAATCCCATACACACGGTGTCCTCTCATCCAATCTGTAGACGTTCGCATCATGCCAGTTCGTTCTGTCGAGACTGTGATTGCAGGATTCGCTTATATATCATCGAAAAATAAAGTAAGATCTAGATGCATGTATGAGCTCGAGTTGAACGCACCTCGATATCACACACCTTTGATGTTGCTACAGCCAGCCTGAGTATCAATACCGGAAATATTTTGATGTCCCCAATGCATAAGACCAACTTGTGATGTATGTATATAAATCTACTAGTAGAAAATGTCAACGAGTGAACATTGCGAGCTAGCTCAGACTTACATGTATCATCCATATTATAATCATGATACATCTCCCGGCCATTATCATGAAAAAATTTCCCAGGTATGGTCCAGGTGATCCGAACACGCCCTATTATATCATTGCGCGACACTTCTGACTAGCCCTGCACCACTGGTATTATGTACAATGTACATAGTGTGCGATTCGGATAAATTGATTGAGCTGAAGTTGACTCGAGGTGTTGACTCCCATCGGAGTCTGATCTTTTCGTGGTGAATGACGTGAGCTGGTTCTTTGAAGTTTGCTGGAGGTCCGAATAATGATTACAGGGTCTACCATGAACTCTTCCATTCTATGTCCACGTTTTAACCGCATCCAAACTACACGTCGAAAACACGCATCGTGGACTAAGGTCTAAGCTTTGCTACTCTGGATCACTGGGACCGATATCACTACATACCGTCAATGGCTTCTCCACCTGAATACTCGTTTCGACCGTTGGCACCATCCGCTATACGAAGGAAAAGAAGTCCAGCGTTAGTGGTCCATTGTTGCAGTATTCACTGCCAGTGACACCCTCCCATGAGATTGATGCCCTCTATCACAGTCTAGCAAATCACTCTCATCTTCAGAGAGCACTCCCAGTCGCTGTTCAGGATGATCAGTAAGATCATCGGTCGACACCAATCCTTTATTCTAATCTAGCATGTTCCATGCGCATTGTGTAGACTGTCTGGACTCACCACTGGCTGGACCAGGATACGACATCCGGATTTTGGCTCTTACTACTTTCACGAGGAGATGGTGAGCGCGACGTGTGTGAATTTGCATGCTAACCAAAAAAAAAAAAAAAACAGAGTTTGCAGCAATATGAACAATGAAATGAGCGCGCTACATGGCGTCATCACCCAGCTACTTCGCAATTTGAAGGAGAGGGCTCCTCCCGATGCCGATTCCGAGATGACCATTGTTTTGGACTTAATCCCATTTGTTGACGGCGTAGACTCGGGCCAAAGGCCCACCTTCGGGTATTATTTTGCTTCTCATACTCACAAGCGAGTCTTTTGGCTAGAAGATTTCAACCTTGCTTGCTTATCAGAGGAATGCGACGGACCTATGGAATCATCTTCTAGATGTAAGCTCAAGTTCATGCTCGGTGGGCATGCGTACGAATCACCCTGTCTTTTAGGCGCTGAAACCCAGTACTGGTAAGTAATCGACAACTCGTCAAACTATCGAGCAGTGCGACTTCGAACAGGAAGCATTGCGAACTGTTTCCGAATACCCTCAACGTCACAGAGGTTGTCATTCGTGAACTCAAGAGCATTCTAGTTCAAGTATCTACAGGTATTCGCGTTGCTTGGTGTCAGATACCTTCGATGACGACTCGAAATAGATCGTCTGACTTCGAGATTCTCAACATCGCCCTATACTGCAGAAAATGTTTCAACCATGTTAGAACTTGCGAATAATATCGAACGTACGCGACTATTAGAACTATACTCGTTTGTTGATGCTCAACTGGCTGGAACTTAGCTCTGGGCAAGAGCATGGATGGGCGCTCAGCTTGGACGATAGGTACGGATTTACACAATCTCGACTCCCTTCGTTGACCCATACAATGGTGCAGCGAAATTCATGATGCTATATCGTTCGTGTCTCATTTGTTGCTATCGATCGTTCTGCTGAGTTCTCGCTGATGCACCAGACATCGGCATTTTACGAAGTTCATATGGTCAAAACGACGACTATTTCGACATCGAGTACTCTGAGTCAAATTCGGAACCTTACCAACGCTCTATGCTGATGGCGCTTTTGTCTCCATTAATGCTGAAGTCTGCGGAAGTCTACGCAGAGGAGTTACACAGCTTTCGAGACAATTTCTCACTTGCGCGGTGGAGGAAGTTTGTGGATAAGGTGGATATCAGCATCCGCGATTCCAATCTGCTGGTACGATTTACGGAGTCGCCATCGTTTACACAGCTCAACTATATATCAGGCAACTGTCCTGCTTAGCACGAGCATAGGCTTTTTGGCGATTGGAAGTGTAGACTCGAGGGGTGCGGATGGCTCAAGGTCGGCGGTACAGATTGTCATATATTGCTCCGTCATCTGCAGCATTGGAAGTATCATAATCGGTCTTATTATTTTCAAACAATACCGCGCAAAGGGTGCTGATACTCCTCTGAGAGCGGTAAGAGGCTGACATGATTTCTTCTTAAAACTGCTCATAATGATCGTAGATCATAGTCTTGAAGCGGATCCTCAGCGAACGGTATGGTCCTGAGAGGCTTGCTGTTATCTGCAGCCTGCCATATATCTTGCTGATGTGGAGGTGAGAATGTTTTGCTCTGATTCATCAATACCTGGTATTCATCATACCCGCTAGCCTTATTTTGTTTTCGATTGCAGTTTTCGAGACTACTTTCAATAAAACAGATGTCCAGACTCGCACTCCTGTTGCAGTTGCGATATCCTTGCTTTCGTTATCGGTGTTTGGATCTTTGTATACTGCTGGACCACGAGATAAGGAGGAGAAAGTTGTGGACCCACCCGAGGTCTCGAGTTGGAGAATGATAGGTCGACAGATCACAGGATTCATTCCGGCTGCGTGCAAGCAATTGCGGAAGCCGGCCCGGAACGACCTAGTGCAGTGCGCAGGCAAGCAGGGTGATGGGGACATGGAGACAGGTCTCAAGACATGTTGATTGTTCCCTTCCGAGTCGGACGATCCTCACAGTTACAGCTATTATCGTTGAACCCCCTCTAGCATTGTTGTATATCTCCCTTAGTGAATTATATTGCTGGACAGTGTGACTCATGGATCAAGTAACCAATTCCAGACCACAACTCAGGGAATCCTTCCAAGGAGTCTATCAACTTTCGAATTGTGTTCCTGGTTAGAAAACACCGAGGAATTCTTACCATGACATTACAAGTTTCAGTGATTGAACTTAGCCTGAAGTGTCTGCAGGACAAACACTCTGCATGAGTCCGCAGATGGCCAGACTCCCCTGTGAAGAATCACCTACAGCTCGGCCACAAAATCTATTCTAGCTGGCCCCTACTCCTGCGCTCTTTAAATTGAATGGTTCCAAATTGGCAGGTGTTATTTTAGAAGGCCTGAGTACTGAGATCATTCCGACCCAGGTTTTACTGATGTTCCTGTCATCCTTCACGGACAAAATTAACGTGTGCTTGGAACATGATGCAAAAGTTATACTCAGATTTCAGGCGTGAACGCAACCTCGCGTTCGGAACTGAATGAGACAAGATGAATTTTGAGGGGGAAAGGTCTGAACCATGACTGTGAAACACGGGTGAATTTTGTAACGTCCCAACCAATGCAGTATGTATGTAATGATGACGAGCACTTCAGGCTGAGGAAGCCTACTAAATACTGTACTTGGTATTGTGTTGGATCTATGATCTATCTAACCGCCAAGAATAAGACTTAGCACTAGTCAGTCCTTTATCCATCAAATTGAGTACTGTTTCTAATTGAGGTGGCGATAAAGAAACTGAACAATGTCATCGAATGATCTTTCGTTTTCCAGCTCTGCGTTTGGTTCATAATCGAACGAATGCTCTCGACCTGGTAGTTCCTCCAATACGACCTCTACGCCAGCCTTCAAAATTAAAGAGTGTAAATTACGAGACTCTTGCACGAGGACAGCCGTGTCGCTGGTTCCACGGATGAGGTAAGTTGCCGGCCAATCCGACGTGACGTTGAACTGAGGGAAAATAGTCTTGTGATCAGAAATGAGTGCCTCGTCGAAGGGATCTTCAGTATGAATAGCCTTGCGTAACATAACACTGAGACTTGGTTCATGCTGACCGGTGATATAGTCCAAGGCGACCCCAAGCTGTAGGTATAAGCGCAAGATTAGCATTCGTGGGTTCGCAGGATATCCCGGGATGTGATATGACTGTGGATGGTATACGAGTGGAGAGTCTGAAGTGCTTTGGAGATTGTTGAACGGATATATATATTCAGAGAACTGTGCGGGATCTAGCATTTCTCTCCCCCGGAAGAAAGATTGCATCTTGGGAGCGAGATATTGGTCTGTCTGAAATACGTATTATTAATATGATCAGGATCTTTCGGAGGCGAGAAGATGGGGCGTACCAGAAAATCGCCTCCCATACCATATAGGCTGAGAACTACTTTCGGTTTCGGGACTGCATAAATAGCGCATAGATACGCACAGAACCCGCCCGCGCTAGTTCCAGCTACACCGATCGACGTGGGATCGATGCGGAAACGTGAGCCAGAGCCAAGACCGGCCAGCTCCCGATCAATCTGAACATTCAAATCTCCCGCGACAAAAGCGATGGCGTCCTTCGCATCGGCAAGCACATTATGTCCAGTCCCTGGAGGAATAAGACGATAATCTACACTGATGAATATTATACCGCGTGCAGACAACCGGCCTTGGGGATCACATTAGTACATGGGTGTCATTGCAGTCATCATGGGGAAAGACAGCGGGGTCGGACTTGAAGCAAGGCTAAAACTGACTTTTCAGCCAAGTAGGGAACCAACTTCGTCTATTTCCTACGGTGAGACCCCCTCCGTGGAAGTAGACGACTGCTGGGTTATACTCAATCTGTCGGGTGGATTGTTGGTCAACGTCATCTGATGGAAGGTAGACGTCGAGAAAGATGCGTATTCCGTCGACCTCTTTATAACTAAAGGTCAAAGGACTGTCAACGTCGCATTGGCTTTCTGGCATTACTGATTCTCAGGCTGTTCTGAGCAGTGAGATCTGAGTGCTGAGGAAATGGGTTATTATTTATACAAAGACCTCAGGTGCGCGTGACACAGCAGAGCAGTTTCCGAGTGCGAGGGTAAAATGGGGGCAGTTATGATAGTACAAGTGGTTGATCACTGGTGCTGGTGATACTCTATGCATAATTCAGAGGCAATTTGGCAAAGTCCGTGTGAAGTTTGGCTTGAGGTGCACGTGACTCAACAATCACTGCCTGTCAGGCTGAACTCCTGGAGGAGTGGGCATCAACATCACGATGAGCAAACCGAAAGCGAAAGCTATCCAGACACATCAAACGGGGATATATAAGTCAGACTCGGTCAGAGTATGCATTACAACAGTGTCAATTTATGCGACGAGATGAAGCCGACATTTGCAGGACGTCGCCGAATCGTTAGGCATAGCCAACTTATCCGAAACAGTAGCATCTTCACTCGCTAGTGATGTCGAGTACCGCATTCATCAGGTCATAGAGGTGCGTTGTTTACGTCTAAATGCACTTGTCAAAAGCTAAGGAAACATTAGGAAGCTTCGCGATTCATGCGTCATGCCCGACGAACTACCATCACAGCTTCAGACATTGACCAGGCCCTTCGAGTTTTGAATATCGAACCTCTCTATGGTCACAATCCACACAACCCTCCTGTATTCAGACGCGCTCTGCCATTTCCGAATGCGGCTAATGTAGGCCCTGTCTACTTCGTGGAGGACGAAGAGATCGACTTTGATCGCGTGCTTCGAGAGGAGAAAATTACGCTGCCAAAAGGCGTCAGTTGGACCGCTCACTGGCTTGCAGTTGAAGGCGTTCAGCCTCTCATTCCTGAAAATCCGCCGGCAATACCGAAGGACGTCGATCAAGAAATTACAAAGTCACCCCCCCAAGTAAATGGCGCATTCCCATTGACCCCGCCATCAGAAAGCCGATCTGCTGTCAAGAAGCAGCAACAGCAGCAGCAGCAGCTGGTCAAACAAGTGCTATCACGAGAACTGCAGCTGTATTATACGCGGCTTACGGCGTCATTATTGCCACCTACTGCCGACTCTACTAAGCGAACAGCGGCCCTTGCGAGTTTGCGCAATGATGCTGGATTACAAGCGCTCTTGCCTTACCTTATTCGCTGGGTTGGAGAGAGTGTCGTGACTGCGTTAAAGGAGGGTGCTCAAACTGAAGCGGATGGTCGATCGTTGGAGGTTTTATTAGATGTCGTTAGCGCTATTCTCGAGAACAATACGCTTTTCATCGAGCCTTATGTGAGTGATATCCCAAACCCGACACAGTTCAGTAAAATGATATTTTACAGCTCCATCAATTATTACCAGCTATCCTCTCAAGCTCTTCTTCATTCTACGCTTCCACCATCACATGCCACCCACTTGCGCACGTCCGCTGCTCAGACGTTATCCCGTCTGCTTACCCAACATTCCACGACTTATCCATCCCTTTCACCACGAATTATGAAAACACTCCTTGTTGCTCTCATTTCTTCAGACAAGTCCAAGGGAACACGAGAAGGTGCCATCCGCGGCCTGGTGGGGATTGGAAAGGAGGCGGTAAGGAAGGGACTCGTAGAGGGTGGCGGAGTGAAAGTTGTGGGAAGTGAATGCACACCAGGGGAGACTGGCCCCCTCGTCGATTCCGTTATGGTCAGTATTCCTTTTATTCCGCGTGATCCTGCGTGTTCAGTATCCAACAGACTGCTTTGCATGTTCTACATCCCGCATCGGACATGCCTGAGTCATTCGATGCAATGGACGATGGGGATACTGTGACTATAGGGCAGTTGCAGGATGTTTTAGGCAATTTCTTCGCCGAGAAGCTTTATGGTGATAAAAGCTGGGCATTGGGTATTTTAGGTAGCATAAAACAGCAAAGTTAACTCTAGTCTATTACTATTAATCTTGCTGTCCGTTGTAAACAAATGACACGTTGAACAACTGACGAGTAGGCGCAATTAGTCGTAGGTTTGTTCTCGCTCAGGCGCTCATAAAACCATGGACGGCCCATTCATAGACGCCGAGAAAGACAGCTCCTCCTGCTGATATCCACATCGTTCTTGGCACTACACCTGCAAAAAGAGCCTTTGCGCCCTCTTGCACGTAGATCTGCCGAAGTCGCATAGGAAGACTTGGCACTTGCTGCTTCGAAGGGTCCTAGATACGCCTTAGATATGTCATCAGGATTCCCAACAGAGACCTACTCTAAGATCAAGCATGACGCGTGTTTTAAGGACATCGAGCGGCGTTGTTAGTGCTGCTGCAGTCCCTCCGGCTATGCTTCCACAGACAGCAGCCTCGTGTGCATATAGGGGTTTTCGGTCCACATATATCGATAATCGATGTTTGAGAAACTCATATAGCGGGAATTGAAGTGATGTAAAGGGTATCTTAGAAGTATAAGCACTAGATTAGTTGAGCATTCATACAGGGTGAGAATTCGATCGTTACCTCGCGCATGATAGTAGTCCAAAAACCACGATAGAATCCTCGAATGCCGTCATGTTCCAGGACAAGCGTTGCAGCTTTGAACGAAGATGTCGAAGCACCATACATTAATGTTTGGGTCCTGGTCTTGATGACTTCTGTAGGAACGCGTATCAAACAAGCAGCCTGACTCAGAAAATATTCATTTCCGGAAGATAAATGTTGCAAGTCAAGAACTTGCCATTTCTCCCACAGACGCTGACAGCATATGGTTCACAGGTGCAAGTTGGTCATGAAGAGGAATCGAGTGCTTCATGGCTTCATACGTAGAGAAGAATGCAGCAGCTGTGATCTCCACATCAGAACGACCATGACCTGACAGCCTATTCCATGCATACCTCCTGGGGCGCTTCCAACAACCACACTACCCACACCTTTGTAAATCCCGCGAAAACCGCCAGCCTTGACGAATCCCTGCGCAGACTGCAGACGGGTCTTGACGGTGTCTATCGGGAAGAACAGTATGTCGACCGCTGTTCCTGCCAATCCGCCAGCCTATGAGGGATATCAAGTTGGCACAGAACACATTTTCATCTTGCAAGGAACTTTGCGCACAACGAGAGACTGGAAGAATGTCGGTTTCCGTTCCGCTGCCATGATCACGGTCCACTCCGAAACTCTTTCGCCAAACTAGCATTTTTGTGTGACTTGTCTTAAAAATTACGTAATTGTAGTCTCCATCTGCTGAGTCATGGATATGACTTGACGATTTCTAGTTCGCTAGTTTCTGCTATTAAAAATTACTGACATGGATGATGCACTAGAAAAGCCGCGACCTCAGCTTGCGACAGTAAATTTGGATCCAGCTGAAGAAGAATCTTCGGGGGATGAAGATGGAGGTTTGGATTGGACAAAGCTACCGTGAGTTCTGAGCATCATACATGCATGTATTATACTAAGCGCAGCAGAAAGATTGGCACCGTGCGTCCGGTGATCCCAAAACGCGGAGAAAAAGATTTTGAGCCCGCTCCAGGAGGGGGTTCGGGTCTTCAAGTCCATGTGTTGGACCGAGCACGCGCTGCGATGTTCGACGCCCTCAAAGCTGATCGTGCTATATCTAGGTATTTTCATGTTTTACTTGCATCAATAGATATTGATCCACCGCATAGTAAATCTGCTAGCTATGGTATCTGGTTCCCCCAAATATCTCGCGTTCATGTCACCGTTGCCAAAGGTATTCACTTTTCTGTCATGGGTCATTCAGCAGCACGGCCCACATCGGTTGATGGCGGCTCAACGAAGCTGCAGAAAAGACTAGAGTTACTTCCTGAAGAGGCGCTCTATCTAATTGAAAGAGGCGCTTTGTTCTGCTGGAAGGATATCCCAGTAGATTTGACTGGCTTGGATGACATTGAAGGTGCTCCGATGTCTGTTCAACAGGCTTTTGCAGAAATCATTGGGAAGGAAGACCTGACACTTGAAAAATATCAGGTGATTGAAACCAGAGGTTTTTCACCAACAATACTCACTGTCGTTCATAGGTCTTTGCATACTTGAGGCGCTTAGGGTATGTTGTCACCCGCACAGATCCGCCAAGTCCTGGTTATCCAGTACCCCCACCTCGCCCAAGGAGTGAAGCACCTCCATCAATCTGCCGAACATTATTATCGATTTTTTCGCTGTTTACGACGAGTATTCTGAGATTTTGGAGAGGGCCGTCTAGTTGGTGGAGACCTCTCAGGATAAGTCGGTGGATACATCATGATAAATCATATGGTCGGAACAACTCTATTCCGCTCGACCCCTTCAATGACGAGTTTGTGTCTAGGCAAGGTCTTCAAGTCTTTGCGAGTCATACCTGCAGGTCACTCCGTCGCACCTTATTCAAGTCGTACGACTCCTGTTGCTCCCTCGTCCCCATACAAGATATTCTACAACATGTACAAGCCCTCGACCAACTTCCGTAAAAGTGCTCCCCCACAACCCGATTTCCAAATTGTCGTTATCAAGTATGACCATGCTTATTGTTGAGGCATACCAGCTGAACTTTGCGTAACAGCGCGCGAACCGCTTTTGTGCCCTCTCTGTACGAATTGACGGAGCTATTCAGTGTTCTTCCGGAAATCCCACCGCCTCTCCCACGAAAGCGCGGAGCACCTCCAGTAAATCAATCATCCCCTGCAGCAGGCGCATCGTCCGTCCACACATCAACATTCAGATATATTCTCTCGTGGTTGTTTCCATCATCAACCCCACAGCCTATGTCATCTCAACCACGGCCGCATCCATTTGCAGCACTCAAGGCTGGAAAAAAGAACATAGTTATCGCGGCTGTAGACTCGGGCAACATCAGTTTCTTTCGATTCAGTCAAGGCGCTTTTGAAGAATGGCCGACTCTTTAACATCTCTGGCGCTCGAGCTCTGGTCTTTTCGCCACGAAAAAGTACACGCTTATGTACAATATCATGTATACAGGTGACAGACTATTGTAGGACTTTGATCGGGTCAGCCGCTCCAAACAGCCCGGAATTTCACGTCTTAGCATACGGATTCAAAGTACTCCGGTTGAGTGTCGTTTGCAGGGCTATAGAGAAGTCGGGAACTGGTGTTCCCTTCCGCCATGGACGATGGAGTAGCTGAATCTGGATAATAGTGGATAATAGTGAGACAACCGTTTGAACCTATCTCCCCGCTGCCAGCTCATGTGTACTCGCGGCAACCCTTCCGGATAGTCGGCCAGGAACTCCAGCAGCATTTGTGTGTATTGTTGTTTCGAGACCAACGCACCTCGAAACCATAATTCACATAAATGCCTAAAGCTTCAGTTGTGCTATCATCTTCTCGGACAGTCGAGCGGTCAGAACAGTATTTACCCCAGTGCGTACGCTACAATACCTTGTGTATCTGCTTACACACTTATAACATATATGTTGTTGCCTGGTTTTTTGTTTCTTTGGAAAATGACATCGGCTGGCCTCAGCACTGTGTGAAAGTTGGTGCTTTCTTCATTCCATTCCGAGCTCTCAGCTGAAACAAGACCACGCAAACCCATTTCAGTAATAATCGATGTCTGGTGGAATAGTACAGAACATATCTCGTGTGGTGTAGGCGCTGATCTGCAAATTTCGCTGCGGAAGACGGAGCCGGGGACTTACCGTGACAACACATAACTTTACACGCGATGTCGGAGTCCCATACTAGATCCCACTGAAGTAAGTGTTTACTGAGTAAGTTACTAGTACTAGTACTGACAAGTCGCTACTTTTTTGCCTGTCCTGAACGAGACGTCTCAGATCGGACGGCCTCTCAATTCGAACTGAACCGAACTAGCAACCTCGCTACGATTGTTGCGTCAGTATGACATATTCATCTATATTTATGTGCCCGTGTATAACGCATCATATTCTTCGGACTAATTTCATCCATCCTTCAATCTCCCTTCAAAATTTGCAATACCAACAACTGCGAGAGGGCACCCACAAGCGCTAGCGGCCTCCGCGACGGTTGTTGTAATTTCCAACATTTATTTGGGAGATCTTAGGTGAACACACCCCGAGTCAGCGTAACTCATTTACAATCATCAAGACCATATGGTAGATATCCCGAAATCGAAATTCAAAGTATATTTTCATTCTGTCGATGATGGATCCCTACTTAAGTCGCAATTTTACATTCTCCTTCTCTACCTTTGCTTCATGATGTATCAGACCATGCTGGCAATCAGTATATGGTCCGTCTCAGTATGCCTTGGTGCATATGCAGCACCTTCTTCCGATGCATCACTGTACCAGAGCAAACTACGGGTGGCAGGTAACATACGATCGGCCATGCTGGCTTCTATCAGGACTAGGTAAGTCACCGTATGATGACTCAAATCAATTGCATCATGCTCAGATTTAGTTGGGAGCAAGGAACCGCAGCAGGCGCCATACTCGAATTCGACGACCCAAAGTACTCCGTCTTCGGATCTTCCCCATTCGTTTCTGATGGAACATTCCCCCTCTCGACTCTGCAGCTGGCGTATAGCGCTGCTGTACGGCAAAGTCCTGACGGTCGCCTCAGTCAGGAAATTGGTGATGCACTAGATGGTGCTGCGTTAGATGGTGCCTCCGCCGGCTCTGCAGTCCTGTTGGGTAAATATCACTTTGTTGTGCCGGAATTTTCAATTTTTGAACTGCTGAGACAGGCAGTTTGACCGATGGATCTCGGCAAGACTATTGGCTGAACGCGGCTAAGGCCCAACTAAATTTCGTGTGTTCCGCAGTTACTTCCGGCTTCTCGGACTGATCGGTGACCGCTAGATACTCAACGTAGCTCCTCGTACCTCTACTGGAGCTATTTCCCATCGTATCGACACGCGTCAATATTGGTTCTATGTTTACTATTTCAGATATATCTCGAAATACTCAACGTGAGGGCAGATGGTGTCTATATGGGGTTCCCCTTCATTGCATACTTTGGGGCAGTCACCAATAATGCAACTCTTCTCCAGATCGCATATGATCAATGCCGGTTGTACCGTGATGCTCTGATTCTAGACGGTCCCACTGGAAAACTCTGGGGACATATTTACTCCGACGATAATGGAACGTGGATAGATGAAGGTATCTGGGGAACTGGTGAGTACTCTCATGGGCCTTGGTTCAGATTCCGCATAAACGCAACAAGCAACTCACGATCACACGGAATTTATGCAGGTAATGCGTGGGCAGCACTTGGCATGCTGCGCGTTGCTGTGACGATTCAAAAGTCTGAGCACTCTGCAAGGATGACGTCACAGATTACTTGTCTTATCTCGTGGATTAAGGAAATTCTGGACGGCGAGTTTGCTGCCCTGGTAAGGACGAATCTTTTCTGGCTCCCTTCGCGGTTAACATCATGATCCCGACAGAGATCAGACGATTTGATCCCGAACTATATCACCGGGGGTCCGTCCTTTTCTGACGCAGCCTCTTCGGCTGCACTAGCCTCGGTGGCATATCGGGTCGCACACCTATTCCCCCAGGAATTCGGCACAAACTACACGCATGTGGCTACGAAAATACGAGATGCCGTTGTGGGCAATATCACGAACCTCGGTATCATGCAGCCAATTGCGAATCCCTTGCCAGATCCCTTTCCATATTGGAATGAAACAGGATTGCTCAGTACAGAATCGCAAGCATTCGGACTGATGATGCTTTCGGCTTGGAGAGACTGGATTGGTGTTTGATAGCGCGAGCAAATTCTTTTGTTTTCGGGCTATCCCTCATTTCCCTCATTGTCTGCCACGCTCATTTACAGCCATCCATTTGGATAACGCTAGGCCAAAAAAATTCTCCCTACATACACGCCGGTATTATAATGGTGCCGGGTCATGCGGCTCGCCAGAATGTCCCGGCATCACGAATGTCCCGGCACCACGAGTCCAGCTGAGCGACAGCGCTGATTCTCTCCTTTATTCGTTTTTCATTCCTCCACACTGTCGAGTTCGTCTTCCTTCACGCCTCCTCACTCGCACTCTCAGCTTTTTCGAACCCCACCCACCACTCCCCTTACCATAATCTCTCCAGTTTGTTAATCCACACACCGTAGTTCCCTCCGTTTTTACCAAAGTCTTTGACATGTTCGAATTTTGTGAGCAGGTATCCCGCCCTCTTAGCGGCTCCACCTGCTCGTATACCACGAGCTAACACTCGGCCCAGCCCAACCTGTTAGAACATGTTAGCGACCCTAAAGCGAGACGAAATTAGACTTGAGCTTCTTTTCTCCGATCAAATATGTAGTAGTTCTAGGAATTGTGTACTTGGGCTCATAGGAGAATATTTGGTTGTCGCCCGATACATGCCTCGAGGTACTGATAGATCGCATAAGTAGTAATACCAGACATGGACAGAAACCACGTTTTGATCAAGGGTGCGAGGTCGACCTGTACAAACCGGCAACCTCACCACTTCACCGGTCTCCCGATGCTAACAATAGGTGGTCCTTGATATTTAGCGAGCTCAGAGCAATTTGCTTTCGTTCTTTGGGCATGTATCGTCCCATAGTAGATCGAGATCGACTAGCTTCTAATCGGAAAATTAAAATTGTGTAAAATACCAGTTTGCATGTAGGAAAGAAAATTGGCTGTAAAAACAACCAAATTAAATTAAATACCTGGCATGTCGAAGAGCAGTGTTAAATATCTACCGACAAGGAGACTCGTCAAAAATTCAATATTCAGAAAGCGTGCGAGACGGCCATGATTAATACCCGGGCCCTCGACATTCTACTCTATACAGATGCATTTATATACGCGGCACAGGTCGCGTGCGCATTTATCATAAATTTGTCTTCCACAAAAAGAACCATGGGAAAGGGTGAAGAATTAGGCGAGTATTCGAGCACGCGCTGTCCCGGACGAGCTCGCGCGTTGCGTCATGCGCAGAAATACACCATTAATTTCGATTGATCCAAAAGCATCTTGATGTCTCTGCTCCACTGGCAGTACGTGACTTGGCTTGTGTATAGTATAGATATAATACCTTCTGTATTGGATGTCGGGATAAGAATTGAACAAATCAAGTGTCGTAAGACATCATGTAAAATCATAAACAAAATACAACTTTGAGGGACGAACAGCCGCGATGATCGTTAAGATAAGTGTGGTGCCGTACATACATACATATGGGTACCACGAAGTATAACTCTCATCCACCTATAGAAAACATAGTCCAAACAAAGACCCATCACGAAGAAGGGAAGGTGCAAAAAATTATGCGATAATCTTCATCAGGCCCGAGGGCTCCAGTTGGAAGATAACAGACCCTGGCATAAACCATGGGATCTGCTTCGCATTGACGGAAGGAGCCGTCATATAAAGTCAAGGCCGCAAGCCCCTGCAAAATGTTATCATGAGCGTCAAGATACGGTATAGATGCATAACAACTTACGACTAGGATAACCATGGAGAACGCCAACAGACACGTGTAGACTATATAACAGCAACCAGTTCCGTGGAACGGCGATAATACTCTTCCCAGTGGAAAGACGGATTTTTAACAAATTCCGCAACCGAAAGCAATTTCGGTAGGATTCTATTTTCAACGGGGCCTCCACTTCGGTGCGTGCGTACACACAAAGACCCACATACACCCGAGACAACTCAAGGTATAGTGAGTCCGACTCGAAGCTAGCCTCGCTGGATCGATAGCATGCAGCTACAGATTGACATTACGACAGAGCTTTGGATATTGCAACAGCCTGTGAATTATATGTCATGGCTTCCATGTCCTAGTTAAGGCCATGTGGGGGTAATATTCAAAAGCCCAGGGAGACTTGAGTCACGCCGCACCAAGCACGGAAGCACCGACAGATTCCCAGGGATCCTCGTACGCTTTGTTCGTGACTTGCCCCATGAGCAACGCATCGTGTGCGTGGGATTCGTTTAAGATATGATTGCGCGGTATGGCAATTCAGCGTGGCTATCGTGCACTCGTCAAAAATATGACTGCATGGTATGTGCGTTTCTGTGCGGGAAGCACTGATCTGGTCAACAATGACTGCGCGGTATGCGCGTTTTCTGTGCGAGTAAGCACTGATCTGGCCAACGGTATGACTGCGTGGGATGCGCGTTTCTGTGCGAGTAGGCACGATTCTGCTCAAATAATGAGTGCACGGTATGCGTTTGTCAAATGCTTTCTAGTTTTGCAGGCCAAGGAGGGCAATGCCGCACGCGAACGCACAGATGCACCGATAAACCACACGCCCGATGTATCGCGGCGTACAATCCTCGTATGCAAGAGACAAAGCCACTTGACCCTTGGTATCATTGTCATAGTAGCAATTGGTCAAGGGTCTGTGTCTGTCAAGTTTGTGATAGGCATCGAAGTCAAATATCGTGAAATATTGCTTGGGCGCTTTGATAGCTTTGGCATAGTCCTGCACGGTGAGTGAAACGACAAGGTACTGTCGGGAGGCATCTGCCTATCTGGATCGCTGCCTCGCTGCGAAATATGTATTCACAGAGGAAGCCGATAAGAGGGCTCACTTGCCACTCCCTCGTGCTTCCGACTCGAGGCTGATCATGAAACACAAGCGGAAAACTTGGACGTAGCAGAGGGACATCATGAAAGGGAAAGAAGAGAAGCGATGGGAAATGAGATATTCGAATCCCGATTTTGACAGGAGCGGAAGTTACCGGGTCTGAAATTTGAACTATGTAGTTTACATAAGCGACGCTGCCAAGCACAAATGTCAGTGACAGTTGATATGGAGGTTATCTCGCAGATTGCGTGGTCCAGTCGGAGCTTACATGGAGCAAAAGCCGACTCGATCAGCATCTCTGTCTCACCCGTTCATCGAGTTGATGAACGAGTCATAATATGACGCCCAAGGGCAAATTGAGATCTGGAACACGAATCAGTACAGCATCAATTTTACAAGACTATCGTACTACATATACATTGTACATGTATGATATATATTTGAACGGACAAGGATCCTCAAGCTTGGGTAGCTAGTGAATAGACAATAGATGGTGAGATATAGCAAAACCCTAAAAAAAACTAGTCAAGCATGGGTCTTTATACCCATGCTCGACGCTTACTTGATGTGAGCACAGGAGGAGTGCTTGGTGGAGTGAAAAACCCGCCAGCGGTAATTCCCATCGCTTCCACCCCCGAACCACTAGCCTTGCGAAGCGTCCCACGACCAATCGATATCGAACCTCTCCTAGAACTCCCCGGACGTTCTATGCTGATTGTCGAACGCGCTGTACTTCGGTGGGAGTGGACTGTACCATTTGGACTCTGGTCACTAACAGTATTTACGCCGCTTTCATTGCCTCCATTTCTCGTCACAGGTGCAAGAAACCTTCGTCGCCGAGGTTGGTATGGAAAGGTATTTGCATTTGCATCTGCGTCTGCACCACCACCTCCCCATACGCTGATCAAATTTTCGTTCGTGAGAGTAGTTCCCGACCCACTGGGCCCAATCGGCATGACCAACACCGCATCATCAATGTCTTCATCATCGCTCCGTAAACTCAATGGTCGGGCCTGCTTGAGCTGTGAGCTTGATGAACCCTCCGATGATGGTGGAGAAGGTGACCTTCGGATAGACGGGTGCACCGCCTCCGCGCGATCATGGACTTCATCAAATATTTCGTAATAGCGCTGGATGCAGAGCTTGACGATAGACCCCAGAGTAGTACCACCTTTTGAAGTGTCAGTGGAGGATGATGATGCTGGCTGTGTCGGCGTTGCACTTGCGGAGGGTGCAGTGGTCGTCGATGATTCATTTGTTATAGAACATAGGAGTACATCTTGCATCGGGTCTGAGCTTTTGACTAGGTTGGGACAAATGACAATAGCAAGATTGTGTGCATCCATGCGATTTACATTTGATCGTAGAGATACCTCGTGCAGCACATCTAAATAGGCGTTAGGTACATGTCTTTTAGCATATCACAGAAAAGCGTAGCTCACGAAATATGTTGCTCAATAAGATGTACATGCATGGCATCAGCTGTGGCAGGAGTGTGTCGCGAATATATGCCATGGCGAGCATGCTGGTTGTGTCATTCGATGGCGTCGGACATCGACGTATGTCAGGATACAGAGATTCTGGGAATGGGGGGTCGGGAAGGTCACGAAGATACTTCTTCAATAGGACAGCTGCGAGATGAGGGTCGTTAAAGCTTTGGAGAGAAACGACCTGGCCTGGTCAAGTGTCATAATATGCTGATACTATGTCGATGTAGAAAAATACCTCTGTCGTAGGCTTCTTGAACCTGTTTGAGTAACGCGGAACTCGGCGAGCGCCTGAAAATCCCTTCCTCGTTCAGCCCTATATATACATTTGATGAGTTTAGGCAAAACCACAACCATCCTCGATACTCACCAGAGGTCAAAAGGTCCTGGATAGAATCTTTCAGAACCCGCGGAATGCTACCCTTTTCGCCGTCGTGACCCATGAGTTCCTCCAAGGGCACGCCAAAGACGCTAGAGCAAATTGGACTTGGTAGTACGATACGGTGCTCCTGTTTCAAGTTTTCTCTATAGATGTGTTATCAAAAGTGTTGAACAAGTTAAAAGTGTGCTTACTTATACACCGCAGGTGGAATGTCAATCTGAGTCAATGGAACCTGGGTAGCAAGTTCTGACAGAGTGTCGACGTAGACTATTTTACGAAAGAACTTCGGGCTGTGCGACAGCGTTCAGCGGAATTAGAAATTATGACAACGGAATGTGAAAGACCTGACAACAGCACCTGCCAACGAGAAAAGCACTGCGAAGCGCAGGTCAAAAGGGCGCCCGACCGAACGAATAATTTCACCTACTTTTTGAGAAGAGAGAAGAGTGCACGATGAGCTGTACTAGACATTCAGTTTGTTGCATGGTGAGTAAGTGAAGTATCGCTGACCAGGCGCTTCAAATTCTTGCGGTACTTCCTACTCAGGCTTCGATATGCCTTCCAAACCCAATTCCAGCTTGGAGCGTAGCGATTGCCTGCTGCGAAGAATACTACAGTGTAATCGGATTCGACTAGAGAGAAGGAGGTGAGACCAGTAGATCACGGTGATAGCACTAGAGATGGACGAACCAAAGAGATCGAGGTATGACAAAATTCGCCTAACATGGGATAAGGATAATAACTGGTTGCGTTTTGCACAGACACGTACTGCAAGAGCAGGTCATAGGAGACCTCTTGCGGATCGGGTAACGCCGATGCACTGAGAATTACCCTATGCAACGTGCATTAGTGGTGAATTAGGACGAGCTGGTATCCGTCACCAAGGCCCAGGAGAACTTACATAGGCCTAGTCCTAGCAAGGAAACGAACTATGAATAGGTTGACAGCGCCACTAACCATGTATTGTACTCACTCAAAATCAACACCAGCCTGGAAAATGACCTTTCCCATAACCTCTTGTACTTTATCCCTTGCACCGGGCTCATGTCCCGTAGCACCTGGGGTATGCTTCCATGGTGGATTGAATACTTTTCTTCGAAAATGAGGACCTGAGTCGGATCCAAGAGGAGATGTTGGAGAAGATGCGGCGAGTGAAAGAGCAGCAAGTCTCTGCTTCAAACTAGGCGGCATCTTCGGGAAACGTTGTTACAAGTTGGAATGGTACAAAGAAGAAGCCGAAAGGGACTAGAGCTGAGTTGACTTTCGCCCACGAGACGGGTGCGTGTTGCTTGTTGAGACTTGAAGGCGTTCTTGTCAACGATGGTGAAACGTTGTAACCATACCGGTGCCTGATATTATTATTATACTATTAATGCACAAGAGCGCAAATTAGTTAGCGAATAAGAATAAGGATAAACAACAAGCAATGTACAAGGACTAAAAACTGCAATATTAATATGACTCGGAAGTCCAGATCCCTAGTAATATATGTACCCTCTCTGATGCGGCTGTAACCACGGTCCAGGTGAAAGGCAATGAGATCTAGCGTCAGAAAAGAAATGTCTATGCGAGGCGAGACTCGTCTTGGAATCATTCAGTGGCTAGGCAACGTCTAGCCAGGTTGCTCTCGGGCGAGGATTCGGGCTGCGGTAGTAGTCCCCGAAGTTGGCAGTACACCCTGTATGGTAGTGTTTGGGGAGCGAGATCGGAGCATGACATGGTCCTATTCACGAGTCGATGATAGGCTAGTATCGTCAAGGACGCTAGCTCTTATTAGTGCATCTTGGCGAAACTTGAAATGGGTTGACCGAGTCTCTAGATCCGCTGCGCATCTGGCTTAGTCGAATACTTTCAATCTAGATTTCAGGGTTCGTACGACACGGCACCGAAACCCATCCGAAATCAACTGCGGGTCAAGTCCTTCCGCGAGGTGTCTACTGTCTTCGAGTACTTGGGTCGCCGACCATGAACGACGCCTCAAGCAAACTGAGCAAATGCAGATCGGTGGTATCTTGATGGGGATTGTCCGTGGATGCGAAGCTCAGAGAGTGACGTGTTCGGAATGGCATCGGCCTATGCTATGAATCGTAGGTCCCCCGGCCCGGAAGCTCACCCCACATTTTTTCAGGGCCAATCTATGGTGCGCCGTGAACCTTATTCCGACCTGTCCCAACTCGAATACACGCTCCTCTCAAACGCCAGATCGTCTCGTCACCATGACCGTGCTTCTCAGTGTTGATTGATGTTGATTAACCATTTAACAGGATTTTCTTCCATTCCCAGCAAAAATATGCATACATTTTGCAGTGTTCTTGCGTGCTCTCAAGACATTCGACCAACTCCGAGTCAATGGCAATCCATTCGCCCAGTAACCCTGCAATCATCTCGCCTTGATCGCCGAAGCACGACTGTCTGGTGTACTAGCAAGAAGATTTCAGGAACCACGGAATGATAGTGGCTGGTCTATTCTAGTAAAATTATTGCATTTGATTTAAAAGCTGACTTACATGTGTACCTCCATCGCCATCGTCAGCATCAACGCTGAGCTCTGAGCAGCGTCGTCCGAGGTCATATATTGGCCGGGAGTCACGGTATGTCATATCATTTGTGGAATTGCAGTTTTCGGGTTTCTGATAATGCGTACATTGCAATGTAGAAGAAAATGGTAAACCACCATATGGTACCATTCCGGAAAATCATGGTGCCTTGTGGAACCTTATCATTTATCGTTTCCTTACACGAGACGTGAAGGTGGTCATGCGTTGGTTTAATTTTGGGAGAGATGTAAAGTTCTGGTATTATCCAGTACATTGTAGACTTGACTGATGTGTCCATAAGCAACTCGTTGCGCCAATGAAATGGTTCGAATACCTAAACACCGACTGACTGCGTTTTGGCATCATTCGATCTGCCGATAGAATCACATTCTCCGGCGTGCCCCTGTATCTCTCTGTAAGGGATCCCAGATATGTTGTCGTAAACATTATCGGCCGTGGGTGCACGTACGTGAAAATCCATTCAACTTGACACTCTTAGGGTCGCAGCATGACAAGCACCGGTTCATGCTATAACCGACTAAAAGTCAGTTCAAGCTGAGTCCTGACAGCTTCTCCTCGATGGCGCAACCGGGTCTCATCCAGATCGGAACATCCTATGGAATCCGCATTGTGAAACGTTCTATGCTCCTTGCCCAGGCGTTATCTTCGGCGTCCGGCAGTGTTCAGTGGCAAAGGTGTATATATATCCATACAGGACATTTGATAAGCGGACACATTCTAAGAAGTGAAGAACGCAGTGATGGACCACTTGAGGAGGAGGACGGGCCCGGATGACCCACAAGCGACATCAAAACCGTTAAGGGGCAGTACAGGCAGTGCCGAGGCAGTCAAACATTTCTCCCTTTCGTAATGATATCAAAGATCAATCACGAAATGTAAGAAGTCGACCTAACTAGGACAGTGGGATACATCAAAGGATTCGAATTTCATGATTCCATTCCATCGATACGAATCTGATGCAAAAAATGACACACCGATAGAGCTTCAACTTTCGATGATGAATTCTGATCCCATGCGGCTCCGCTCTCACAACTGGTGAAGCACTGGAACGCCATTACGCGCTGGTATGATCATCAAGCACTCTTCTTGCAGTGAAAGTTCAAACACATAGTAGTGCGCTCATCCGTCACGGAAGGGCCACCGTAGCGGTCTGCCGATGATAAGAGAACCGGCAGCCCCGCGGAATATCTACTCTGTAATGCGACTCGATGCCATGGTGACTTCAGTGGCGGAAAAACTGAGTGAGTACCAACTGAATGATTTGCGGGGACCTTATCAGGGAATCAGAGGGGGGATTATTGCCATAGAGAGACTGGGCTTCGCATGCATACGTGTATGTAAAAAGTGTTTTGAATGACCTTTACTTGGAGCTCTAGAAGCTCAAGGATGAGCCTCTGACCGGTTATAATTGCTAAAAAAAAAATTCTGTACCCGGTACTTACTCACCACCACGCCGTGGAGCTGACATGTGGATTAATTGCTGATCGGTATCTTCAGGCCACCCGCAAGATTGGGATGATTGCTTCTGGATGTCGAAATATCCAACAAGGGAGTAATGATGGCCGCGGAAGATAAGCACTTCCGTTAGATCCATTGAACTTGCCGAGAGGTGAGTCCACACTCAGTTTGAGCAAATCGTAAAACCTACCCCATCAACTTCCCAGGCCCCCACGACTCCGGCTATTGCCAATAGCCATTCCGGATTTGTTCCGACAACCTCAAAAACTTCAGTTCAGTTGCTCATAAAAGCAACAGAAAACTTTCATAAGATGGACCATCCTCGAGCACACTGATTTATTAGCCTCTCCCCATCCACCAAATCGACTTGGCAGGATGTATCACAAGTCCATGTTCCCCGACCTCCCTGCTGTGCCCGAGGCTAATGTCCACCATTTGTTCTTTAATCGACCAGAGCAGAAAGCCTGGCCAGATTATACGTTGTACGTGAATGCAACCACAGGTAAACAGTGGTCGTTCCGTCAATTCGCTGAACGTGTACGCGATGGGGCTACCGCTCTCGGAGCCGACGTCGAGCAAGGTGGCCTCGGTATCTCCCTCGAAAAGGGTGAGATCGTGGGGATCCTAAGCGAAAACAGCCTGGTATGCTTCTATCTCCCTCAGCTATGTATTATCAATCTATATACGCAGAGTCAGGACTATATTGCATTACTGCACTCTCTATTGGCAATTGCTGTGCCTTTCGCCATGATATCGGGGTACTCGACTCCTTTCGAATTCAAACATGCAGTGTCACTATCGCAAGCCACGCGCCTTTTTGTCAGCCCCTCACTACTACCCCTCGCTGCAACATCGGGCCTGCCACATGACCGAGTTTACCTGCTGGAAGGTCACGTCGAAGGTTGCTTGAGTTATGACGACCTTGTCAACCGCGCTCGACGCAATCGGATACCACGCATACCTGTAAAGCATGCCACGCGAGACACTTTGGCGTATCTGGTTTTCTCAAGTGGAACAAGTGGCCTTCCCAAAGGTGTGTGTGCTGCATCGGTTTTTGTATTATAACCGTCTTAAATCTGCCCCGATCATCTCAACAGCGGTCATGATATCTCATGGAAACCTAACGAATTCATTACTTCAGGTCAAGGTTGTAACAGAAGAAGTGAACAAATTCCAGAAAGTAACTTATTCATTTCCTCTTATTCCGAAATATGCTCAACACGCGAGTTAGCCACCCGTATGGAATGGTCTCAATGGCATGCAGGTGCTATTTAACGTTCTCCCGATACACCATACGTATGGGTTGCACATATCGTGTTTCCGGGTGTTCTTTGCGCCACTCACTGTCGTCTTGCTCCCGAAATGGGACGTCAATGCCTTCCTCAGCGCCATTCCGAAGTGTGCAAATTTCTCAATGCACATCTACATGATAGCTCATTCGTTTCAGGTATCGCGCCACCACTTTATACCTTGTTCCTTCCTTGGTCCATCAGCTCGTACATCGCCCTGAGTTCCAGGCCGCTGACTTGAGTACCGTCCAAGCTGTGCATTGCGGAGCTGCCTACTTGCCTGTGTCACTTTCGGAAGCTCTGCTTTCTCGTTTTCCGAACCTCGAGCGGATAGGTGAAGGTGGGCTGCAAATTATCTTTGGGCTTTACATTTTGTTAATCTATCGTAGGGTATGGGATGTCTGAAAGCGTGAGTATTGCCTCGATCAAACGTGTTTCTATGGCAATGACGCTCGCTCCTGACTTATCAGACGATATCTATTGCCAACAAACCCGTTCCCGGCGTGCTTAATGGGCGTGCGAAAAACAAGCCAGGCTCCACAGGCGTACTGCTTCCTGGTATTGAGGTTAAGGTAGTGCGTGAGGATGGAACGCTGGCTGCAGTGAACGAACCAGGAGAATTACACGTTCGATCGGGATGTGTTGCGCTTGGGTACCGTAATAATCCCAAAGCAACCAAAGAGACGTTTGTCGATGGATGGCTTCGCACTGGTGATAGGATACGAATTGATGAAGACGGCGTTTTGTTGTGAGTGTTTTGAAACACTTATGAAAGCCCTTCTGATTGCAGCGCAGTTACGAGGATAGAGCAAAGGTACGAGCTACTGAGGAAAGAAGTGGCCCTCATTTACCTACTTGACATGGTCATAGGACACACTCAAGGTTTCGGGATTGCAGGTCTCTCCCGTAGAGATCGAAAACACGCTCCTGGTACACCCAGATAAACTTATTATAGACGCATCGGTCGCGGGTGTGAGTGGTGGACGCACTCTTGACGAGCGGATACCCCGTGCGTGGGTCGTGTTATCTTCTGAGGGTCGCAAATTGGGAGCTTCTGCAACGGTAGCAAAGCTTGATGCGTGGGTGCGTGAGTCGTTGAGTAAATATAAATGGCTCCGCGGAGGCATCGAGGTGGTCGATATGGTATGTTGCCAGTTTTATTTTCAAAGGCGTTCATGTGCTCATGCAGACCGTCAGATCCCAAAATCACCCACGGGAAAGGTATTAAGAAGGCGACTGGTAGAAAAATATGAGGATGGGCAGAGGGCAGTTATGGCCAAACTTTAACGATTATCCAACGGAAACTTCGACATGAATTGTATATGGTACCTTGCAATTGTTTTATTACATTGCATTATTGAACAATGCGAACTCGGACATGCAGCGTGATAAATCTGATTTTTCAACGGTCGCCGCGTAACTCCATTCATCTTAATATGGTGCTAAACAGGCCTAGCTGGCAGTGAGGCCCAAGGGCTAGGGCAAGGCTAGTGCTTATTGAATTTGGTCATAAGTTGGCACTCCTACGTAAATCATGCTCTCACTACATGGTCCGGCTTCATTTGCAGCGGCAGGTGATTTCTGACCCGGCCCGGGATATAGTCACTGGACAGTTTTCAACCGGTGTCGCGAATCAATTCAACTTGGTTGAACGACCGATTTATTTCGTCGTTTATAGTAACTGTCTCTTTCCCAGTCTGCCCAGAGTTACAAGACGTTCCGACTAGTTCTTGATAACAGAACGACTGCGCAACATTAAAACAAGGAAACAAGAAGAGCGCACACGGAAATCAGCGTGTCATAATGGCTAGACAGACTAAAACAGCCTAGACTCCCTCCATGTGGAGTAGCCTCAGTAGTCAAGATTCCCGACTTTCACGATGCGACTACCATAAACAGTTCCGATCTAATAACGTACGAAGGGTGGCCTAGGACAACGCACTGGTCATTTTCTTATCTTCGTAGCGCTGCTAAAGCCTCGTAACATATCGGTGGTCAAGTATGTACTACAAGTCACTCTTCCCTGATCTGCCAAAGGTCCCTGAATCAAACATCCACCACTTTCTCTTCGACCGGCCTGAGCAGCGAGCGTGGCCAGATTACACATTGTTCGTCAATGCGGCTACCGGCCAGCGGCGTTCGTTCATGGAATTTGTCGATCGTGTCCGCGATGGCGCTACTGCACTAGGTGCCGATGTGGTGCAAGGTGGTCTAGGTCTTCATCCAGAAAATGGAGATCTTGTAGGCATTCTGAGCGAGAACTCCTTAGTGTGTTTCTGCGTTGAGTTTGTAAGGAAATAAACTCATTTTGTCAGGAATATATCGCTTTGGTGCATTCGCTGTTAGCTATCACAGTTCCATTTGCACTGTTCTCATCGTATTCTACACCTCACGAATTCGAAGCCATCAGTTCCCTCGCGCAGGCAACTAGGATTTTTTCCAGTCCCTCATTGCTGCCACTCGCCTTAACCTCAGGTCTCCCCAAAGATCGGATCTACATCCTAGAGGGAGAACGTGATGGTTACACAAGTTACTACCAGCTCGTCTCCTCTGCTCGCAGGAATAACATCCCACGGCTGCCAGTCCGTTATGCTAATAAGGATACTCTGGCCTTTCTGGTTTTTTCCAGCGGAACAAGCGGTTTACCCAAAGGTACGTATCTCTTTTCCGGTTTTAATCGCAGGAGCATGGGCACATCATATGTAGCATTTCTGACCTCGTCATACAGCCGTCATGATATCCCATGGAAATATCATCGATACTCTCCTAGGACTGATAGTACAAGCTACGGAAATGGCTAAAATCCAAGAGCTATGTATTCATCTGACGTTACTTTTTCGTTATCTCAACTCCCCACCAGCCACCGGTATGGAGCACCCCTGAGGGGCTTGAGGTTCGCTTCTGCATCCTCCCTGTCTACCACTCGTACAGCCTCTACTCGACCTGTTTTAACATCTTCCTCCAACCTTCCACGATAGTCATGCTACCGAAGTGGAATATCAATTTATTTTTCGACAGTGTCCCGAAGTAAGTACGATTGATAGCAACTGTGTTACTGATATATATACTTGTGCCACGATTAGATACTGTATCACGACGATAGGCCTCGTCCCATCGCTTATACACCAGGTGGTTCACCATCCCCGTTTCGAAACTGCCGATTTGAGCTCGATCAAAAGCATAGGCAGTAGCGCTGCGCACCTCCCACCTCAACTGGCCGCCCAGCTTTGTGCCCGCTTGCCAGGCATAGAAAGAATTAAAGAAGGTACGTTCCCCACTCCCATCTTGTTTCTTGATTATCGTACTACAACCCACTTATACAGGTTATGGTTTGTCCGAATTCGTAAGTGATCATCCACACTCATCACAACCCCACATCTTACTTCCCGGGGGGTAGCTAACAGTAGCTATGAAACCCCTGCCTAGCATGCTCGATGGACGGGCGAAGAGCAAACCTGGCTCCGTCGGAATCCTGTTCCCTGGTGTTGAAGCTCGTATTCTCCGTCCTGATGGATCTCTCGCGGGTCCAAATGAGGCGGGTGAAATCTTTGTACGCAGGGGCCACATGGTGCTTGGATACAAAGGAAATATCAAGGCGACACAAGAGACATTCGTCGATGGGTGGCTGCGTACGGGCGACCGGATGCGGATTGATGAGGACGGAGTGCTTTTGTGAGTCAATTTGGCGACAGCCGGCATGCTCATCACCACACGATGCTAACATACCCTTTGTAGCTTTGAGGACCGCATCAAGGCAAGCTTGTGTCATCTATGTATCATTATTGACGTTGTCCTGAGCCGTTACAGGACACACTCAAAATTTCGGGGATGCAAGTTTCCCTTGTCGAAATCGAGAACACACTTCTGGCGCAGTCGGACAAGCTAGTCGTCGATGTATGTGTTGCAGGTGTTTCGGGCGGGCGTACCTCAGACGAACGTGTCCCGCGAGCATGGATCGTGCTTTCCCCGGCAGGGGTAGCGCTCGGTGGGAAAGAGGTCGTGGGACGGCTTGATGCATGGGTGCAGGAGCGGCTAAGTCGGTATAAGTGGTTGAGGGGGGGAATCGCTTGTGTGACGACGGTGGCGTTGTTCCCTTTCTTTTCCACTTGTGTTGACTGAACGCTTTGGCAGATTCCAAAGTCGCCAACTGGAAAAGTGTTGAGGCGGCTGCTGGTGGATGAGTACGAAAGGGATGAGAAGGTACAGGCTAAGGCGAGATTGTGAAGATACATGATGGAAATGCGAGGCGCGCAGCTACAGCGGGAGAATTTCGTGATTACATGAGATTTTCTTAAAATATTGGCTACCATTATTTACCCCATTAGGGATGCTCAATTCTAAAACCTCGAGTTCAGTTCGTTTCATTTGACGTTATTTATGCAGTAAATAATTTTATTTCGCCTCCGTAAATTAGTTCTGAGGCCGGAAAAAGGCCGGACAGAGACCTGTCTCCCAGTCAAACATACTGGTTAACATTCTCAGAGTTGGCAATGAACTACGACAGTGATGGCAGACAACACCTTCCCTTTCGGTTCCCGAACCAAGTCCAGCATCAACAACACAATACTACGTCATACAGTCACATATCTGCAAGGTCAGACCACTTGTAGAAACACACTCGCATCAGCAACAGCAACATAGCGACAGCTGGCCTCTGGCCCTCAGAATACCGTAACAACTGGCAGCAAGCGTCAGTAATCAGCAATGTTACTACATAAATAACGTCAAATGAAACGAACTGAACTTGAGGTTTTAGAATTGAGCATCCCTCCTCAAAGTCCAGTGCTAGTGCTTATTGAATTTGGTCATAAGTTGGCACTCCTACGTAAATCATGCTCTCACTACATGTGTTGGAAATCTTGGAAATTGATCTCAACTGATTAGGATGCTTTGTAATAGTCCCAATATAACACGTGATTGGCAAAGCCATTGCAATAGAAGCCACAGTTTGGAATACATATTATAATGACGCCATAATATGCACCTGTAATGGTCATTACATTTCCAATTCCATTATATTTTCAATGATTTTGGTTGTAGTTGCAATTAATTTTCAATATAATGGTGATATTTGGCTTGCGCATTAAGATGGGTTTGCGTTGCACATGTCAATTGTTCCCATAGTATTCTGCCAATTACAACATAAATTTTATTGCGCATTATAATAAATGTAGTTGTACATTATGATCAATTTCGAAATGTCTGTAAATAATTTAAACATGCCATCTATCAAAGCCAGGTGGAGGTGCTGTCGAGTATCTGCAGTGGTATTCATACACGGCTTTGTAGGGTAGTGTTTTACTGGTGCTTGCAAGTCCCGCGTCCCATTCCTTTTCTGCGATTGCACCTCAGGATAAGGTGAGTCATCCTCTGCAAGGGTCAATAGTTGTGGTGACTGTCTGAATCATCAGTATCCAGAAAATGTGATGCAAGCAGGACATACATTTGCAGCAGGGTGAGGAGGTAAGGTTGAATTCAGAGCCTGAGGAGGAGATGTGGGCGAGTGAGAGCGGTGAGTACCCATTTCAGGAGAAGTTGGGGGGTCCAGGATTAGTTTTGGCATGGGGTGGGCTGCGATAAGGACAGCCTCTAGGTCATCTTGCTGAAGACCTGTCAGAGAACCTGGCTTCGATCACTCTGGATCTGAGGAAGGAGCGGGAGATGTAGAACAAGAAGAGCGAGAGCGGGCCATGTTTGCAGCTGGGGAAAGGAAGGAGAGCGAGGAAAGGCGAGAGGAGTGAACCACCACAATGGATAGCATTGGCGTGCAGCTATTATCATTTAACATAAGATGCAATACAGGTAGGTATGAAATATACTTACAGTGACATCAAGAATGTTGAAGCAGATGCTCTGTTCTCCTCAGCGCACACACTTGGCTCCTTCGTTGCCCACTGGGAGGCAGCAATGCAAGGGTCTGCAATTTCATCAAGGTACTGCACACCATTAGTGACAAATTGAGGCCACCGGTGGTGTCAGGACCAAAACACCAGATCTTCCTTGCATTGGCGACATCATCACAGGAGTTGATGGTACCAGCTTTGATTGCCTTGGCATCCTTCATCAAGAGGCATTGCCTTGGTGATCATGGACTCAGCCTTGACAGTTGTATGGTAGCTGACGACAGGGTCAGATACCTTGAGAGGAACACCAGTGTGGTCTTCTTAGAGATCCTACAATAAGAGTCAGACTAATGAGATATAGCAAATGAATAATTATAGCCATTTACCTTCAAGAAAATTTCTTAAAGTGCAGCTCACCGATGGCACCAATGACAATGTGCTCGCTGGTATAAGCAATCCAAGTCTAGTCACAGAGGCCAGACTCCAACAGATGCTTGAGACCTTGGACAAGCTTGGGTAAATCTGCAGCGTTCTTGACCTCAACAGCGACCTGTACGACAGGAGACATTATGATGGAGAACTTCTGAATCATGACGAACCTCATGTTGCAATGTCACATTGACAGTCGAGTGAGATTCTTCCACTCTTGAGAAAGAACTGGTCAATACTGTAACCGACTGTTACGACTTGGATGGTATCATACTATCTGTTGGCGACGCTCAAACAGAGCATGTGTCGTCAATGGTCGAGGACGTCCTTGGGCTAGCCCAAGGTTAGGGGTCTTACTTGGCGAGGCTTCGGCAAGTAAGATTTGACGCCTATGTCCAAATCGGGTAGCTTATGTCAAGCGGGGGCTCGACGATAAGCGTATCTGACAAGGCTTACGACACCCAAAGGTTAATTGTAAGATCTGCGTTAATTAGAAGGACGGAAGTCCGACTAGTTAACAGGGGCTTTGCTCATCGACAAAGTCGATGAGTAAAGATCAAGACTAGAGACTTATCTGCGATGAGCAGATAAGAAAGTAGAATATAGACAGCTGGCTAGGCTGAAGGAATCACTCTTGTTAGGAGTAGGAGGTCAAGAACCAAGTAGATTCAAGTTAAGGAATAAGATACATGGTAGCGAGTTTATATAGAGGAAAGGATGCGTATTAGTGGGTGATAACTCGTACTACCAGAAAGGGAACTGGTCAAAGGGTGATGCTAGAAAAGGAAGGCACATTTGAGGTGAGTCACAGGTGAACCGGAACGTGCAGATAAGAAATGAGTCAAACAACAGAATAGGAAGTGAAACATACAGGGGCATGATCGTGCAACTGCGGAACTAAGTATAAGTACACACGTGCGATTGCACACCAAGTCATAGATCAGGAAAGGGAATAGGGCAAAGAGGATGCAGCGTGCATCGTATCATAGGTTACTGTCCGGATGGTAAGGGCAACGGGGACTGTCCACAGGATCAGTCAGGGGGTAGAACGGAGCATGGGTATGCTTCGTCAGTGAAAGGGTCCGGCCAGATGTACTGGCTCTGCTGGAGTGACAGGTAGAGAGCAAAGGGGAACACGAGGATGACGAAGATAACAAGAGCAAGGTTGGGGTAAGGGTGTGATGCAAGGGCAGAGACGAGGAGGATGAGGAGAAAAATGGTAGGGGCCCAAGCATCTAGATGTTCTTGTAACACCGACGAGACCAACGATTCGGATGATACTAATAGCAGGATGATCTTCAATGCAAAGGCATTATAGTTTAAGGGATTCAGATATGATTCCAACAGTGTGTCAATGGACTAATATAAGTTCAAAAGAGAAACTAAATGCCAGCAATGTCTGTTGCAATGCTGACATAATCACCACACAGAGATTGTGAAAAGTCATGGTGAAATTGGTATACTTATTTGATTCATTGTATTAGTATGAAATATCATCAAAAAGAGTAGACACTTGACATCAGGACATCTGAATCTAAGTTTACTTGAAGAGAGATTGTGAGTAACTGTAACTATTATCATTAATCAGGAGATTCAGAATTTTAAATCTAAAAGTTGGCATAGTAGTATTATTTCTTTGAATGGCCGCGTCATTTTGGGGCGTCAGCATCTCTGCCCTGTAACACATTTGACTTTTTAGGCCGACCTGCCTTAGAACTACTGCTACCTTTCCAATAGTTTCATCTGAATCTGGTCCAGGTCCATGATGAACTTGAAGACTGGTGATCAGCGATGAGTTGCTTTCTGCTGCACTGGCAGTGAGGGTCGACATCATGGTGATAGTCAACAAAGGAGTAGAAGCCTCGTTGGCATCACATATAGCTATATTGCCTGTAGCTTTAGTGAGGACATCAATACCAGCGTTTTCATTGTCAGACAGAGATGGATCATCTTCTGTGTCCACTGCCACTAATCCGAGTTGAGCGAGACACATCTCTTCTTAAAGATCATCAGCAGAATCCTTACTGTTAGTGCTGCTGTGGTCTGGTTCGGTCCGGTTCAGGGGGTCCAGGACGAGAACCGAGAACCGAACCATGGTCCGGTTCTGCAAAATCTTCGAACCCAGAACCGGACCATCGAGAACCGTTCTTTGCGGTCCGGTCCAGTTTTTTTCTGGTCCGAACTCGAACCGAACCGAATTTTTTTCTATAGTGAGCGCAAAAAAAACATTGACAAAAAGCTAGTCTACACATTGAGTAGCTAGTCTAACATAGCCGCAAACTCTTCTGCCTCTGTAGCTGCTGAAACATGACCATTGTGGTAACCTGCCTTCAATAATTGGAGCGCGGAGAATGTAGCTGGGGCCAGTGCATTGCGGCGAAGTGTTGATGTGATCCCCCCGCTAGAGAAAGCACGTTCTGAGGGAACCGCACTGCCCTGAATTGGTAGATAATCGCGCGCAATACGAGATAGTGTTGGATACTGAAGTGAGTGTAGCTAATGAATAGAGTGAGCTCAGAATGTGATAATACAAAAAAAAAATGTACCCCCCACCACGCCACAATATTGTCTGTCTCTTCCAATGGTGAAGTGAGATATGATGAGAGTTCTTGAAGCGGGTCACGGGTGCGATTGTCTGCTGCTTGACGTGCTGTGACAGCGCAAATCCCGAAGGTCAGCTTGACGTCGAGGCAAATGATGTCGAAGTGTCGAAGCCACGGTTCGGAACGGTTCGGGAATGCTGAACCAAAACGGAACAGTTCGGGATGACCAAGAACCAAGAACCATTTACTGGTCCGGTTCTGGCTGATGTGAGAACCATGGACCAGACCAAGGAGAACCGGACCAAAAGTCCGGTTCGAACCGTGGTTCTGGACCGGACCGCAGCAGCACTACTTACTGTTAAGATCATGAGAGGGGCGAGAAGTGCGTTCAAAAACAAAGGTGTTGATATGCTTGATGATTGTCTTTAGGTGAGGCTTCTCCCAGTTGCAGATTAGCAGTTCTTTGAAGAATGCAAAGACCATGCTGTAGTTGATTTGAGAGGTCTTGCCTTTGCCTTCCTGGGGAAATTCCTGGTCGGGTGATAATAGAAAGATGTTCTATTAGACGATGAAAATATAATCAGCCAAGACAAGCGCAATGAATAAAGGCCTAGACTTACTGCAACAATAGCCCAAGCCACAGCCCCAGGTGTTACTTCTGTGACACCCCACTTAACTGCATTGGGCCAAGCACACCCTGTAATCTGCTTTCGTTTGAGAGTGATGTCCTGCCCTTAAGGCAGCAGCTTAGTGTCTATTGATACAGTGTAGATTAGATTTTAAATCTGAATGAAGTGAATGACAGTGCACCTTAGCAATAAGTTGCCAGTTACCAAACAGCGTTTTACGGCTGCGGTTGACAATGTTCCCTAGAAACAACATAGGTGGCAGAGTCAGATATGACTTGCCGGTGTAGCGATGGTCGCGGCATTGGGCTCAAAACCACGTATTTCCATACTCACGTCAACACCCGAAACATATGCGCACCTGTCCGATGCACTTTCGCACATGTCTGAGCCACTCCATATCAGATCCGGCACATCGGACCTTTGGACATCGCATCGGCCGATCACACTTCACGTGCACTTGTCCATCCCGTGTCCTGTCCATCCGAACTAGCCTCACTAGGTGCGTAGTCATTCCCGTGCATGTTTTCTGACATTTGTACCGCGTTATTACATGTCCGCAGCACCTTGTGTCTTATTACATAGGACATCGGACCCGAAATATATCGCTACTATCTTCGCCTGTAGTTTTCCGAATTTCTATGTACTTACTTAAATACTCTGTAGTAACCTGTAGCAATCATCATCCAGTAGTTAGGAGCCGTTTCCCGACTCTGTGGATCACCCAGAATATTCTCGTAGTTCTTAGTTGCATTGCAAAATATTACCATTCGTTCACCGTCATACTCCATCATTTGTTATACTCGCACATACCGCTCGCAATCCGACACTCATTATAAAGTTTCCGACCTATTATCGTGAAGTCCGAAAGTCCGAAATCTCGGACATTGCACTTTGGCTTCGGACATTGGATAAGTACCTTTGGACATTGTTTCGCACCATCGGACATTTTTTTATTTGCATTACTGACACATTTTTAAAAACTAATACCAAACAGCTACCCCTATAGGATCGAACGCACTTGCTCTGCAAGTATAGCAGACTAGGTCGTGCTAAGATCTACCTAAATATTTGTTGTCTAGGTAGTATGATTTCTGCTGAGCCCAGCGGGAATCAGCTTTCTACACCGGCTTTGCCAGTGGTGCCAAGTAGCTGGCAAATCTCAGGTTCTGTGTCATGAGCATATGAGATGGCAAAGTAACACTGAGGAAGCTCAAAAATCTGACCAGCAGCACTCCTGAGCTTGTTAAGCTCAGAGGCATGGCCAGCACAGACTGCCTTGGAGAACTGTAGATAGTGTCAATGGTACTAAGTAAGACATTGCATGATAATGACAAATAAATGTATTACCACATTCGAAAACCGATTCATTGGCACCAGGCGATGCAGGTGCTGAGGGAGCATGTTGTACAATTCTGCCAGAACTGCAATCTCCTGCAAACCTGTAGTAGCATACCGAGCAGCCGTATTGAATGATGGTGCAGGGTCAGGAAGTGTTGTTTTGAGCAGGGCTGCCAGCGGAGGGAACATATTGACCATGAGGCCGTATCATTTTGCACAGACCTTGAGTTCCGCTTTGAAGGCCAGAATGTCTTCAGAAACCACGTCATCCTTCTTGCAGCGACCCTTATTGGCTGATAGTATCTTATTCTGTTCCTCCACAATGCAGAGTCTTTCCTTCAGTGCCTGGTTTTCAAGCTGCACATTCTTGTCCCCCTGCAGACATCAATAAGGCTTCAGTGAGTGATACGAAAGGGAATCATGTACTTTTGTACTTCTGCTTCGTGTCTAGAATGGTGCGGTTTTCATTCAGCTGCACTGGTAGCCTGATGTTGAACAAGATTAGAGATTGACCCTTGAACAACACTATGCATAGATCCAGGCCTCTCATCATCAGATGATTCATCAGCATAATGAAGTTGAGACATGATAACAAGTCTAAGAGGAGGCAATGAAATCAGTGACACTTAATGTTGAAGTGGTGCTCATACCAACTGCACAACACCAGCTACAATTTATATGCAGTTTGGACAACAGTGGGAACATGTCAGACCAGTGCATATGGGGCTTGGTATTGGGGCATGGAAGACAGGTTGTGTGATTAATGATGTATTTGGAACCTTGATAAGCCTCTGGATGACATCAAATGAGTGGCTGTAGACTCGGATCATGAGAATGGACTCATACTTACGGTTGATTTAAAATGAGGATACTGCAATATTACTCTCATCCACCAAAAGCAGTATTGTTAGCGCAAGTGCAGTTGATTTAGGTGGAGGAACAATTCAATGTGCAATGTGAAGTGTGCTAGTCTTGGCACAGATAGGGCGTTGTGATGGAATATTAGTGTCACAGCATTGACACAGTATGAATGAGCCTCCAAACATACCTGGACCATACATAACAACTGCAACGAGCTGCGGTTGATGTCAAGAGACATTAAGTGTATTGGGGCAGACTCATCTGCTTGGGGTTTGTTAGACATGTGAATGTCGAACTTAAGCAAAGATTAACAGAAATTGATCAGTAGTTCCAACTCAAACATCCTGAATCTTACAGTTTGAGAGTCCCTGCCAGATGATTGAAGCTTGCAGGAAGAGTACATAATAAGGGCCCCATTGAGGATACAGTGTGGCATAAATGACATTGGATCTGTTGCATGTTGGGTTGCCAGAGAGATACCGAGCTTACTGGAAGTATCCACACCATAATTCTAAGTCTCCACCTAAGGTCTGTATGCCGGCATCTTTGGTAAAGAATGCATGTGTATTGTTTGGATATCTCCCGCCAAGAAAATGAGCAATTGTACCTAAATACTGATAAAAGCGCGACACACAAATTGGGTGCCTAGATGATTAATTAGACATTGATGGCTGTTAGAACCTGAGGAGTTTGCTTGGTCTGTTTTCCATCAACGAATCCATGCAAACCACTATAATTCGACAGTAGTATTAAGTGGAAAATTGGGGGGAGGAACTTGCTTGATAGAAGTACATACCTGGAGGACTCTGCAGGTTGGGACAGACCCATCCACTCGGAGTTTGTCCAACATTGGCGGCTGTCAGAACCTGAGGAGTTTGCTTGGTCTGTTTGCTGTTGATGAATGCTTGCAAACCACTATAATTTGACAGTAGTAAGTGGGAAATTGAGGGGGAACTTGCTCGATAAAAGTACATACCTGAAGGGCTCTGCAGGTTGGGACAGACCCATCCACTCGGGGTTTGTCCGACATTGGCAGCTGTCAGAACCTGAGGAGTTTGCTTGGTCTGTTTTCCATCAGTGAATGCTTGCAAATCACTATAATTCAACCATAGTAAGTGGAAAAATGGGGGGAGGAACTTTCTCGATAAAAATACATACCTGGAGGACTCTGCGGGTTGGGACAGACCCATCCACTTGGTGTTTGTCTGACATTGGCAGCTGTCAGAACCTGAGGAGTTTGCTTGATCTGTTTTCGGTCAATTAATGCCTGCAAACCACTATAATTCAACAGTAAGTGGAAGATTGGTGATGGGGACCTTGCTCGATAGAATTACATACCTAAAGTTGATCGAATCCATGGTGAACTTCTTCAAGGATACCTGGAGGACTTCACAGGTTAGGGCAGACTCATTCACCCAGGGTTTGTCAAACATCGACACGTTAACTTCAGGCTTTTTCACAATATAAGGTAGAGATTGATTAGTAGTTCCAACTTGAACACCCTAATGCTTACTATTTGAGAGTCTCTGCCAGACAATGGAAGCTCGCAGGGAGAGTACATCATGACAGTTCCATCAAAAATACAACTGTAGTGTTACAATAACATTTACTCCTATTCTATTTTTTTTTCTTCTTTTCTTGTAACCATGCCGCCAACTCTAGACTCATCTAGACTCGGCTATTCTCTTACCAAGCGGGCTGTCCGCACTTCTCTTCTATCTTGATTGTAACATAGATACTATCTTGCGCCGCATGGCGGTTTCACCTATCTTTGCTATCTTGATAGGTTGTACTCTTTTCCTATCCTTGTTACCTTTCTTGTCGCGGCTACACCGCTCCCTTCTACCTATATAAACCCCATGTACCATAGATGTATTCCTTAACTTAATCTACTGGGTTTTCCCCTTGAAACCTGATCTACTAAGGTCTCCACCCTTAGTAGCCTGAACTCTGATTCTAAGACAGCCACTCACTGTCTTAGCCTGAAACCCTTGATTGCGGTAGAAGTGCTAAAACCACTCACCGCCTAGGCAGAAGTGCTAAAACCACTCGCCGCTGATCCTGCATAGAAGCCACGGCTCGTGCAGTAGGAACCACCAGAAACCTTCCTTGTATTAGGAAGGCCGACAAACTGTTCGCCCGACAGGTCTATCTTGACCGGCAACAGCAGAACTATCCCAGTTGTAACAAAAGATTAAGTTCCTCACCCAGTACCTGTTTTCCAACAGTACTTTGACACCATTGATTCGATAACCGCGAACATCCTTGCCGCCGCATTTGGAAACATGTCGGGACCCACCGCATCATCCAGTGCCTGCCGCCACAGCAGCTGTAGCCGCCTATAACAAACCGACTGAAATCAAAATTGGAACACCACCGATTTTCGATGGTAACGAGAAGAACGCCAAAAGCTTTCTGCTCGCGATCACCGCCTACCTTGATATCAACAGTGAAATATACAACACTGACAAGAAATGCATCATTTTCGCCACTTCCTTCATGAATGAAAAGTCGGCACTCCTATGGAAGGAAGACTTCCTGAACCTAGCCCAAGACACCACGAGGCTAGACAAGAACAAGCAACCCATTGGGTATGGAACGTGGGAAGAATTCAAGAAAGCCTTCCTTAAGGCATTCACCACGGGGAAGCAGCCACCGAAGCTTGGATTAAGCTTAGGACCTTCAAGCAAGAAGGATCCTTAGAAGAATACATTGCAGAGATTAGACATCTCTTCCAATTGACCGGCCTAACCGAAGAAGGATCAAGGGTCCACTTCTTTACCGCCGGATTGAAATTCGGAATTGCCAATGCTATCTATAGAGCAGGCAATATCTCGAAAGATCTAGAAGGAATGATCACAACGGCTAGGGAGATGGATAATGCCTATCAACAAATCATAGCGCTAAGGCCGAAAAACCACAGCCAGAATCAGAAGAAGAAGAACCGGTTTGGACCTGAAAGGTACCAACCACGAGGAGACAAAGAAGCCATGGAGGTCGACCGCCTCTCAGAGAAAGAAAGGGCTGAACATATGAGAGCAGGCAAATGCTTCATATGCCACCAGACTGGCCACAGAGCCAATGATAGGGAACATCACCCAAAAGAGAAGAAACCAGCCCGTGAGGCCAAGCATAAGGAGGAAGATTCTGACGACGAAACTATGGACACCCGTAGGATGACTAAGAAGGGGGATTTTTAGAATGGAGGTCTGTATCGACGCCAGTCCCTCCCATTCCAGTTCGCACTGTACATCATGTTGGTAATAAAGAAGAGTTACGTATCCCTGCTACTCTCATCCCAACTAAACGTGCGAAACCAGTCGAAACCACCGTAGTCATCGACTCCGGCGCCGCCGGATCATTCATCAGTACCGAATTCATCGACTATCACGGAATTCGGACCAAGAAACTTTCGAAACCCTTCACCATGGTTACCGCCGACGGTAGTGACTGTCGCGGAGGAAAGATTAGAGAATATGTCGAACTCGGCATCAAGATTGACAAGCGGGTCATGTATGGAAAATTCAACGTGACCAAGCTTTGAACCAAGGACAACATCCTCCTTGGATTCCCCTGGCTGAAAGCCATGAACCCAGACATCAACTGGGCAGAAAACTGTCTCACCCTCAACGAGACCCCTAGATCTAGAGAAGTAGAACTCTGGATAGATCAAGAAAGGAAGGACGCAGGCTTCAAACCGCTTTTCAAACTGAAGCCTTACCCTAGGAAGGCCCCCAAGAATATCCTGCACCCCAAGAAGGTGCCTATCAAAGAACCAGCGACCCCCAAGAAGGCGCTAAACCCTGAACCTCCGACTTCAAAGAAAGTCCTAGCTACTCCTGAGCCTACCCGCCAGAAGAAGGAAGAATTCCGTGCCTCCATCAAGGAGATCCCCGATGAAGATGAACCTATCCCGCAACTGAACCCCGACCCAGACGAAGAAGATGAGGGATTAGAAATCCCGAACTTTGATCAAAAGTATGACGCTTGGATAAAGGATAACTTCGCACCAAAAGTCGAAGATTTGGCCTCCTTTTCCCTCACCGACAATGAATTCCTCATTGAATACTCCCAGGACGCCACCGCAGTACGCCTGATAGAGAATTTGGATTTGGACACTCCCCTCACCCGCGACGGTACATTGGCCTTTGAAACCAAGAAAATGGCAAAACCCCCCTCACTTCCAGAATACCTGAAGACTAGCAACAAGTCTCAGGAATTAGCTATGGAAGGTGAAATTGAGAAGAAGAAGAAAACTTTCGAAGAATTAGTCCCTTCTTACCTTCACGACTTCGCCGACCTTTTTGCCAAAGACGGTCTTAACTCCATGCCACCTCACCGACCCGGTATTGACCACAGGATTGAAACCAAACCAGGATACATTCCCAAATCCTCCAAGCTTTACCCTTTATCTGAGAAAGAAAGGGCTTGCGGTCAAGGCATTCATTGATGAACATGTGAAGAAGGAATTCATCTCCCCCTCGAAATCCCCTCAATCGAGCGGCTTCTTCTTCGTAGGAAAGAAAGACGGATCACTACGACCTTGTCAAGACTACCGGTATATAAATGAATGGACGATCAAGAACGCTTATCCCCTTCCCCTCATTCCACCACTCTTAGCGAAACTTCGTGACGCAAAGTATTTCACCAAGATGGACGTCCGATCCGGATATAACAACATTCGGATTCACCCTGAAGACAGATGGAAGGCAGCATTCACGACCGAATTCGGACTCTTTGAGCTGAATGTCATGTTCTTTGGTCTTTGCAACTCCCCCGGTACTTTCCAGGCCTATATGAACCAAACGTTCCAGCAGGAACTGAATGAAGGATGGCTCATCGTTTATATGGATGACATCCTGATATTTTCAAAGAACCTCGAAGAACATCATGAACGGACACGCCGGATACTAGATATCCTCAGAAAAGAAAAACTATTTCTGAAAGCGGAGAAATGCCTATTCGACGTACAAGAAGTCGACTACCTAGGAATGATCATCAGACCTGGCCAGATCGCAATGGACCCCACTAAACTCAAGGGTATCGCAGACTGGCCGACACCAAAAACCGTCACTGATGTACGATCTTTCCTTGGATTTTGCAACTTTTATCGGCATTTCATCCCTCATTTTTCTGACGTCGCGAAACCCCTGAATAACTTGACGAAGAAGACCCAGCCATTCTGCTGGACTGAAGTAGAAGAAAGCAGCTTCCAAGCACTTAGAAAGTGCTTTATGACGGAACCTGTCTTAAGAAACCCCGATCCTGCAAAGCAATTCGCTATTGCAACGGATGCCTCCCTAGTAGCAACTGGAGCAGTGCTACTACAGACCGATGAAAATGGCGCTTACCACCCCTGCGCCTATCTTTCTGCATCTCTTAATGCAGCGGAACGAAACTATCAGATTTATGACAGAGAACTACTGGCTGTCATCCATGCTCTGACAGCATGGAGACATTATCTCGAAGGACATGGACACCCCGTCATTGTATTCACAGATCATATGAACCTCCTCTATTTCAGATCTGCTCAACAACTGACCCGTCGCCAAGCACGCTGGCAGCTCACTCTGAATGAATTCGACCTCGAATTCCATCATGTAGCTGGAACTAAGCTCGCTGCTCCTGACGCTTTATCACGCCGTCCTGATCACCATCCCACCGAGACCGATAACCAGGACGTTGTCTTACTCCCAGACGACATGTTTGTTCGTTTAATTGATATTGAACTAGAAACGGCTTTGAAGGCCGACGACCCCACGGCAGATCCTATCATTAAAACTGCCAGCGATGCACTAGACGGGTTATGTCTACCCCCCATGAAGTCAGCATTATCTGATTGGAAATTTGATAACGGTATCTTGAAGTACAAGAGCCGTGCCTACGCACCCCCCGCTACCCGAAGCCGCATCCTGCAGCTTCACCATGATCATCCGACTGCCGGACACCCCGGCAGATTCAAGACAGAAGAACTAGTCAAACGTGACTATTGGTGGCCCCAGATGGGCACATTTATCAGAAAATATGTCGAAGGATGCGCAACCTGTCAGCAGATGAAGTCTGACACTCATCCCACTACTCCTCCCCTGAAACCGATCAGCTCTTCCGGTGTTCGCCCCTTTTCACAGCTTTCCGTTGATCTAATCACCGACCTCCCGGAGAGCGGAGGTTACGATTCTATGATGGTCGTGGTAGACCACGGACTTACAAAGGGGGTAATTATTTCACCTTGCAAGAAGAACATCACCTCCGAAGGAGTAGCGCAACTATTTTTCAAGAAAGTTTTCCTACGCTTTGGGCTCCATGACAAGCTCATTTCAGATCGCGGACCCCAGTTCGCATCGAAGTTCTCCAAAGA